TCTCACACAAAGCCAAAGATCCCCCCCTCCCCCCCCCCCCGTATGTAGCCTGCACAGACTTTTGGGGGCAAGTGCTGCTAGCGAGTAGCACCTACAAAGGCCGGCATGGCACGCGAGCGGATGGGTGGCCAGCAGCACGCCCGACCGCCTTTGTCTCCCTCGTGGCGATGTACTCATTTGAAGCCGAGTCGGCCTAAGGGAGGTCCAGGGCCGATTTAGATAATCGTCACTGGTGCTGGTGGTGGCCGTGAGTGGGAAATGAACTCGGCACGTCGAGTTAGCAGCGCAGCGCGCCTCCCGCTACACAACTGCTCCCCACAATACAGACATAATAAAGACAAAGATCCCCCGTATAGCCTTTAACAGACTGTTGGGGCAAGTGCTGTTCACGAGCACCTATAAAAGCCGGCACGGCACACGAGGGGGCGGGTGGCCAGCACCACGCCCGACCCGCCTTTGTCTCCCACGTGACAATATTTACACACTGCACCAGGCAATGACTTGAGGCCGAGTCGACCTGGGGGAGTCTGAGGGCCGATTCCGCTAATCCTCACCGGTGTCGGTGAGCCGGGAACTGAACTGGGCTCGCCGCGTCAGTAAAGCCCAGCGCGCTCACCCGCTGCACCACCGCTCCCCACAACACACACACGTCGCACACACTAGCAGCAGCAGTAGCAGCAGCAGTAGCAGCAGCAGTAGCAGCAGCAGTAGCAGCAGCAGTAGCAGCAGCAGTAGCAGCAGCAGTAGCAGCAGCAGTAGCAGCAGCAGTAGCAGCAGCAGTAGCAGCAGCAGTAGCAGCAGCAGTAGCAGCAGCAGTAGCAGCAGCAGTAGCGCAGCAGTAGCAGCAGCAGTAGCAGCAGCAGTAGCAGCAGTAGCAGCAGCAGTAGCAGCAGCAGTAGCAGCAGCAGTAGCAGCAGCAGTAGCAGCAGCAGTAGCAGCAGCAGTAGCAGCAGCAGTAGCAGCAGCAGTAGCAGCAGCAGTAGCAGCAGCAGCAGTAGCAGCAGCAGTAGCAGCAGCAGTAGCAGCAGCAGTAGCAGCAGCAGTAGCAGCAGCAGTAGCAGCAGCAGTAGCAGCAGCAGCAGCCCGCGTGACCTGGCTCTCATCCCGCACACATCGGGCACAGAGATTCGGAGTAAAGTGCACCGACGATGTGTCGCGGCGCTGCCGTTCGAGCGCAGCGGTGTGGGTCGGTGGATTGCAGTGGTTTGGTTGGTGCCCAGCGTGTGTCGTTGATGGTGTGGCGAGGTTTGGTGGTGGTGGTTGCCAGCCTTTGATGGTGTCGGGGTCTCCGTGCTGCGCTCGTTACGGCGGTCGCGTAGCGGTGAGCGCGCTGCCCTACGAACCCGGCGGGCCGAGTTCCATTCCCGTCCGCTCACGGCCAACACCGGTGGCGATTACCTGAACCGGTCATGGGCCTTCCCGAGGTCGACTCAGCCTTAAATGAGTACTCGGTGCAGCGTTGTAAACGCCCGCCACTGGGGAGACAAAGGCGGCCGGGCGTGGTGGTGTTGGCCACCCAGTGCCGGCCTTCGGAGGCGCGACTCGCTGGCAGCACTTGCCCCGACAGCGTGGTCACGTGCGTGCGTGTGTGCGGTGTACAGTGCACGGTGGTGGTATGCAGTCAGTGTGTGGTGGTGTCACGAGTTCCGTGCTGGTAGCGGTGTGCGTGCAGTCCGCGTGGTGGTGGTGGTTGGCCGGGCGACACTGGGAGTTGCTGCTGCTGCACAGACGCTGCACGTAGGCCGTGCTTGCTTGTCCCCAGTGTTTGCTGCCCGTTTGACTTTCGCGTCCGTGCTGTTCCTCGCTTTGACCGGCACCGCCTGCGTGCCCACCGTGGCTTCCTCTCCTTTGTCTGCGCAAAAAGTCTTGACGCTTTCAAAGAAGCGCTCGCCCCCAATGAGCTCTCGGGCTGCTCGTAAACTAAGTTCACGAGGGCAGCACATGGGAGCAGTGCACTGATGATGCACACCAGAGACAAACACACGAGTATCTGTGTGTTTTTAAAGATCACAATCGAGATAATACACGGACTCCCCCTGCCTCGCTATCCCCTCTCATCTCACTCTACTCCCCTCCAAACTCTCAACTCACTCTACTCTCCTCCACACTCTCAACTCACTCCCCTCCACACTCTCCCTCTCAACTCACTCCCCTCCACGCACTCTCCTACCTCTCCCCTCTCATCCCACTCTACCTCCCCTCCGTGCACTCGTGCACAATTCGTCAAGTGGAAGCCTAATGCAGCACGGTTCGTATAACACGCACTGACTGTAGCATACACGTGTGTGCTGTGTGGTGCACTGACTGTAGCACACGTGTGTGCTGTGTGGTGCACTGACTGTAGCACACACACGTGTGTGTGCTGTGTGATGCACTGAATATAGCACACGTGTGTGCTGTGTGGTGCACTGACTGTAGCACACACACACGTGTGTGCTGTGTGGTGCACTGACTGTAGCACACGTGTGTGCTGTGTGGTGCACTGACTGTAGCACACGTGTGTGCTGTGTGGTGCACTGACTGTAGCACACACGTGTGTGTGTGTGCTGTGTGGTGCACTGACTGTAGCACACACGTGTGTGTGTGTGCTGTGTGGTGCACTGACTGTAACACACGTGTGTGTGTGCTGTGTGGTGCACTGACTGTAGCACACGTGTGTGTGTGCTGTGTGGTGCACTGACTGTAGCACACACGTGTGTGCTGTGTGGTGCACTGACTGTAGCACACGAGTGTGTGTGTGTGCTGTGTGGTGCACTGACTGTAGCACACGTGTGTGTGTGTGTGTGCTGTGTGGTGCACTGTCTGTAGCACACACGTGTGTGTGTGTGTGCGTGCGTGTTCACGGCACAGCGAGCACAAAGTGTGCCGAGCATTTGCGACCTGGGCAATTGTGTCCAGCGCGTTCTGGTGCGGTGTTCGTGGACAACATCCTCATTATTATTACTAGAACATTTGTTTATTAGCAGGTAAGGGCCATTGAGTTATGAAGTTTTCTTTCAGACGCAACTTGGCTATCACAAGTGATGTGAGAATGTATAGCAGCCAAAAACTCTAAACGCATGGAGGACTTGAAGAAAAATCCACGCGACCACGGGGAGAGAGACACGCAAACTCCAAATATACAGCAGCAGGAGTCAGGGTCGGAATCGAACCCACAACCTCCTGTACACCAGGCGAGGTAGTTAACATCTCCTAGCCACCGTGATGATGATGAGAGAGACGCAAACTCCAAATATACAGCAGCAGCAGGCGGCAGGGTCGGGATCGAACCCACGACCTCCTGTAGACCAGGCGAGGTAGTTAACATCTCCTAGCCATCGTGATGATGATGAGAGAGAGAGACACGCAAACTCCAAATATACAGCAGCAGCAGGCGGCAGGGTCGGGATCGAACCCACGACCTCCTGTAGACCAGGCGAGGTAGTTAACATCTCCTAGCCATCGTGATGATGATGAGAGAGAGAGACACGCAAACTCCAAATATACAGCAGCAGCAGGCGGCAGGGTCGGGATCGAACCCACGACCTCCTGCACACCAGGCGAGGTAGTTAACATCTCCTAACCACCGTGTCTGGAGACTTTTTCCAGGGGGCTTTTTCCAAATTTCCGCAGTCGTGGGAGGCTGGACGATGTCGCGACTGCCGCTATGAGCAATCCCTCATGGAGTAGTTTGCAGGTGCAATGTTCGGCACTGGGGATGTTTTGGGCCAATACCGGTGACATTGCACGGAGTGTTGTTTCAAAACGCACCGGTGCAATGCACCAGCGTGCAAGTGCAAGACGCACGCGATCACTCCCTGCATGGAGCCCGGTCTGTGTGTGTGCTGCACGTGTGTGTGTGTAGTGTGTGTGTGTGCGGCACGTGTGTGTGTGTAGTGTGTGTAGTGTGTGCGGCACGTGTGTGTGTGCTGCACGTGTGTGTATGTGTGTGCTGCACGTGTGTGTGCGGAATGTGTGTGTGTGTGCTGCACGTGTGTGTGTAGCACGTGTGTGTGTAGCACGTGTGTGTGTGTGCAGTGTGTGTGTGTGCGTGTGTGTACAGCACGTGTGTGTGTGTGTGTGCACAGCACACGCGTGCGCGCTGTGCACCGGTGCAATGCACCGGCGTGCAAGTGCAAGACGCACGCGATCACTCCCTGCATGGAGACCGGTGGGTGTGTGCTGCACGTGTGTGTGTGTAGTGTGTGTGTGTGCTGCACGTGTGTGTGTGTGTAGTGTGTGTGTGTGCTGCACGTGTGTGTGTAGTGTGTGTGTGTAGTGTGTGTGTGTGCGGCACGTGTGTGTGTGTAGTGTGTGTGTGTGCGGCACGTGTGTGTGTGTGTGTGCTGCACGTGTGTGTGTGTGCGGCACGTGTGTGTGTGTGCTGCATGTGTGTGTATGTGTGTGCTGCACGTGTGTGCGGCACGTGTGTGTGTGTGCTGCACGTGTGTGCTGCACGTGTGTGTGCTGCACGTGTGTGTGTGTGCAGTGTGTGTGTGTGCGTGTGTGTGTACAGCACGTGTGTGTGTGTGTGCACAGCACACGCGTGCGCGCTGTGCATCGGCGCAACGCACCAGCGGCGCATTCGCTCACAAGGGCGTGCACTGGGCACCGCGTGCAGTACACGCCGCCGTCTCTATACAGTCCTCTGCCTGCAGCGCACACGCACGCCGGTGCGCACGCACACGCACCGCGGCAGTGCGCGCACACGAGGCGCGCGGGGGCGCCGAGGCGCCGCGTCCCTCTGCAGCGCGCTCGCTCGCCGCGCAGACGCGCGCCGTGCAACCGCGTACAGTGCGTGCACAGCGGTAACCCCTCCGCGCGTACAGTTCGCGGAGCCTCGGCCTAGGCCCCCGCGCGCCGCGGCCTGGTCTCGGCTCGCCGAGCCCGGGCTGGCCCAGGCAGACGCAGAGCCGCCGCCCGCCACCGCCACCGCCACTACCCCCCCTCTCACCCGCACAACTCTCGCGGCAACTCCGACACGCGCACGCACCGAATGGCGCCTCGCCCAGCGCGCTCACCCGTGCAGAGGCGGAGGTCTCTGCAGTCCCGCAGCGTCCATGGTCGTCACTGGGCCATTGCAGACGCGCGCGCGGTGGGGGCGGCGGGGGGGACACGGGAGCCTGAGCGCGGGGGAGGTGACTACCCCCCCTACACACAGAGACCACCCCCCCTACACACAGAGACCACCCGCCCACTCCGCACTGCTCACCACCACCGCCTCCTGCAGCAGCAGCAGCAGGCGGCGACCCGCGGACATGCCGGGTCACGTGACGTGGGGGTTGGGGGTCGATGGGGGGGGGGGGCAGGTGTGAGACGGGGCGGGGCTATGATGATAAGGAGAGGTCGGAACGGGTAAAGGGGGAGGAGCCACGTGGCGTGACGTCACCGTGGGGTGGGGCGAGTGGAGACAATGGGGAGGGGGCGCGGGGGGGGGTCACGCGCTGGGCGGGAAGGACGAGGGGGGGGGCGGGAAGAAAAGTAGGAGGGGCAAGTGGGGGGAGGGCGGGGCAAGTGGGGGGAGGGCGGGGGGAGGAGGTGGGACCAGCCAGGGGGAGGGGGAAATGGGAAGGACCAAATCGAGTCACGTGTCAGCATCAGGGGGGGGGAAGAGCGAGGGGGGGGTTACGAGGGGGGGGGACGCGTGATGAATCACGTGATCGCGGCGTGGGAAAACATGGGGGGGGGGGGGGTGGGAGAAGCAAGGGGACCGGGGGACAGCTGTGCTGGGTCACGTGATCGCTCTTCGGCGGGGGGGGGGGGATGAGGGGCGGGGTGTGTTTTAAATCACGTGATCAGGGGCATTTTTGGTCACGAGACTTCGCCGAGAGTAGGGGGCGTGGCAGCAAATCACGAGATGTTAGAACAGGCCGGCCATGTTAGGTGGGGGCGGGGAAGGCTTGTCGGCCATCTTAGGCAGGGGATGTAGTTTTGCAGGATCAAGTTACGATCTTGTTCAACAAGTGGCGCTTCTAGACACGTGCTCGCTCCCACCACTTGCCCCAGCAGTCTGAAGGCGATACTATACGGGGGAGAAAATGTGGCTGTACCCTGGAAATACGTGATAAACCGGAATCAGTTAATTAGGTAGGTTTTGGGGATTACATCTTTTATTTAAAAAACACGTGCGGCTACATAAAATATTAAGTGGATTGCAATGTTAGCCAATGAAGCTGGCAAGACCTATTTATGTAATAAAAATCTGGCTTATTTTGTTTAACCAAGTGAGAATTCAGACCAGGGTCGTGTTTCCATTGGAAGTGTGATCTGGTCGGTAAACCAAATCACAGCATTCTAATAAAAATACAAGCAACTTAAAATATTTTACTTTGTACACTGTGGGTGAAAGTTTAGCCAGCAAAATATAAACGTAATAATTTAATGCACAAGCAACAAGTAAAATAAGTCATTTTATTAAATCACAAAAAGGTACAATTTGGATTTCACACACCAACATGGAAAAAGACAAAACTATTTAACGTAAAAAAATGTACAAGAGACGGCAGATTGTGGTGCACCGACCGCACCAAATTGGGCAATTTAGGGCCAATCGCTTCAAAATACCACGATACTAAAAAAACTTTTAAAAGTGGCGAGTATTTTGAAAATGGCGACGACTTAAAACCGACTACACCACAACACCGGCGTAGACGAAAGGCCACGTTGTTGTCAGAGTCCGTTGGACACCATCGAACATGAAGAATCTCCCTCGTTAAGAAAAGGCACACATGTCCATTTCAATTGGTCATAGTTGGTTGACAAGACCACGGGCCATCTATAAACCCATCCACGGGAGCACGGCTATGGCCCAGCTAAACGCCGTCCAAGTTAACCTGCCACGCTTCTGGAGATAGGGCACATGCTGGGGTGTTCTTGGTAGCAAATTAAGCACAAATGCAAAACACCTTGACAATGCACATCACCCCCATGTGGAACCTCTAATATTAAAATTGCAGAATGAAAAACAGATGGCCACAAAACCACGTGTCCCATGGGTGACAACAAATGCCAGGTGCCACGATTGCTAGGGACCGTCAGATTCATGCGTAAAGGCCAGCTGACCCAGCACATCGTCCGTCTCCACCAGCGCACGATTCGGCGTGGAGGAAGCATCCGTCACAGAGGTGGTGGAGGGGCCCATCATGGAGGGGCCCTGTAGAGAGGAGAAAGCGGCGTGTCCCAACACGGAGGTGGTAGCCGTGAGGTCCAGCATGGAGCACGTGGTGGCGACGCTTTGCAGCAGCATGCGTTTTCTCCTCCGTGACCGGATCAGAAGTAGCTTGTGCAGGGACTGGTACCGCAGTGCAGTCTGCGAACACTTCAAAAACAAAGAAAATTAAACAATGGGAAGGCACCCCCTCACATCCGGTATGCATTTGCAACAGCGTTAAAATAAAAAAAAGGTAATTGATCCACCTAAGGGGGACACAAGGCTTGAACCCTTCTGCAAACTCATATTCAAAAAGGCCTCCATTAAAAAGTAGAAAGTGCTGTAGAATTTCGAGGAGACGCAGGCCTTTGCGAGCAATAGTCAAGCGGTTAGGTTAAATCCGCGTAAATGTGTTGTTTAAACCACCGCCAACAGCAAAAGGTCATGGTGCTGTAATCAATTTGAAACGTTGTGGGTTCCACTTTCAAACACCGGCTAGGGCCGAACCAGTAACTAGTTTGGCACGTTTGTTTAGGTGACAAACCTTACCGATTGGCCGTGTCGGGTGGTGGCAGGTCTCACGACACGGTTATACTTAAGAGCTCCAATCCAAAAAAAAAAGAGGCTAAAGAACATTACTGATTTGGTGTGACATGGGGGGGGGGGGGGGGGGTCACATGCACAGCAATATTTTCCCAGAGATAAATGGCAACGTTGAACTTCTTTCGCACCGTACGCAGCCAACCAGATTTCTGCTGGAGATACCGAGAGATCTCCAGGTGAGAGTTTATTCGTGTAGCGTTGGGTTTCCTTCATTCTCGGGTTGCAGGAGGACGGCAAGACTCGTGGTTTTAACTACACGGTTCAAAGTTCGGGTTTGCATGGCCACAATTTCAATTGTAGAGAGAAAGCAGAGACCGGGGTGAGCGTTCCGAATTGCATTGAAACGAGGAGCACGTGTATCAAGTAGTACATTAGAAGGGTCGCACTCATGACCACAAAACCTTTGTCGATCTCGCCAAGGAGTACAAACCACCACGCGCGCTACGCCATCCTGGGGAGCAGCAGTTTTTGCCATCCTGCAAACAAAAGCTAGTTATACCGTATGGACTTTCACAGCCGTCTGGAACGCGCTTCCTTCCGGAATTAGGAAGCCACGCACTTTTAAAGTGTTATCTAGGAGATTGAAAATCGCATTTCTTTAGATCTGCTTTGCGTTTAGTTTGTGGTCTCCTTCCACCGGCGCCTCCGATTACATATACTGGTGTTAAAGAAGTTCAAATGCATTGGTGGGGACAGACCGGTGTCAAGGCATCGCACAGTAGGCAATCTTTGGTCATCGGTGGAGAATAAAAAAAAACACCCAGCAGTTCAACAGCATTGGGTCACACAAGCCCGATTCTACGAGGACAAAACTGAATATTGAAAAGCATCCCATCGGCAGTGTGGCCGATGGGATGTAAAACAAAAATAATTTACTTTGGCGAGACAGATATGTACATACAAGTATATATTATTACCACACACACACACAGAGTAGTATATACAAGTACATGCGTGGGTTTATTATGCGTCGCTTCGTGTTCAGTAAATCGTCGTTAAATGGAACGTTCAGACCCGCTACAAATAGAATCCGAGTCTGAAAATACCCGACCCGCTGATGTGGATTTCGCCATCTGGCGGCCAAACAGAGTAACGGTGCCAACGAAATAACTAAAAGTTGCTTGTGTTGTGTATGCATGTTGAACTTATTTCGCACCGTACGTAGCCAATCGTGCTAAACGAACAATGTATAAAAAAGTGCAGCGAGAGATTTTAGGTGGAGGAATTTACCTCGAGTAGGAAACTGTATGTTTTTAAATGTTACGTAGAAAACGAAAATTTTTAAAAACATTTGGTTTTGTAAAATTTAAATTAGGCTACATACTGTGGCTCTTGTCCTCCTACCAGCCTTAGGACCGTCAACCTTGACCGAACTCTACCAACAGGTTCTAGAGTTTTGATCCGTGGTTCTCAGTGTGGGGCCAGGGCCACCAAATGGGGTACGCGATGGCTCCCCTCCGATGCAACTCGATCCCGACTACGACGACACCAGGTATTAGACACACACACCTTTCTGCAGTTTCGGACAATAAATTCATAGTTTCACGGAGGATATTTAACGTCGAAATGAAGTTGGGTAATCTACCCAGATTAAAGCAACCCCATGATGTTAATACAACCGCGTTAAAAAAAAACGTCGTTCAGATAAATACGAATCTTTTCGAATTGGTGGTATGGAGATGGGCGAGTGCGTTTCGTCACCAGGGGGTGATCCGCCAGAAACGTTGGCGTCGGTCGAGTGGTCCGCAGGCAAACAACAACAACAACAACAACCAAACAATCTTCTTGGTTCTTTCGGTAAAGTCACGTAGAAGGGAAGTAATAAAATAAAAATAAAACATAATAAAACAATTCTCACGACGTTTCGGCCACAACGCAAGCAGCCGTCCTCAGGTGAAAACCAGGTCCGTCGAGGCGACAGAGTCTGGATGAAACGGCACACGAGCTTGGAGCATATATATAAGCTGGGCGCATTGACAAAGGAATTTGCATATCAATGCGCCCAGCTTATATATATGCTCCAAGCCCGTGTGCTGTTTCATTCAGACTCTGTCGCCTCGACGGACCTGGTTTTCACCTGAGGACGGCTGCTTGCGTTGTGGCCGAAACGTCGTGAGAATTGTTTTATTATGTTTTATTTTTATTATTTTATTACTTCCCTTCTACGTGACTTTACCGAAAGAACCAAGAAGATGAATCCCTGCAGTCACGAAAGCTTTAAATCGAAATTCAACCAAACAATGTTTGGAGCACCGTCGTTCTAGGACAACCCCGCTGTAGGATCATCTTACCGAGGCACACAGCCGTCCAGCACCACCTCCCCCTCCCTTCTTGCGTCTCAGCATCATCTTCCTCGTCCACGGCAGAGCCAGACCTGGACACTGCGGGAAGACGGAGGAGCTCCCCCCGCCACCAATCGACGACAGGGCGGCAGACGAAGGAAGCACCATTGACCATGGTCGAGATGATGATGTCGGTCGCGCTCTCCGAGTAGACGGCGCCATGGTTGTTGTCGTTGGTGTTGTTGATGTTGATGTTGATGTCTGGGCGAGGTTGACAATGGAGATCGACACGACAAGAGGCGACACAGAGACGGACGTCTGATTGAGTTGTTTGGTGGCCGAGGGGCTCTTCTTATAGTCCCCCCCGCGGCCTCACGCAAGCCGTGCCAGCCGGCGAAGAGATTGTTTGGGAGATTGCCGTATAATTGATTGGGTGTTGAGCGATTTCGCGAATGGATGATTTACGTGATTGTGTGAGTTTGTGAGTGATTGGATAATTGGGTGGTTGTAAGATTGGGTGGTTGAATTATTTGATCATTGGATGAATTGGTGATTGCATTACTGCGTAATTGAGCAATCATTGGCATACGGTGGCTTTACATCCTCATTGGCATGTAATTAATGAATGCGTATAATACAATGCAGACTTAATTAAACATTGTTGGCTCCATTTGAATCGATATTAATGCACCAACACACACCGCGTGACCAGTAACCATCACGCAGCGCAAACTTCATAATTGACGGCGCCTGGTCGGACCCTTGCTGATGGAAGGTTTTGTGGCCATACTTCTCCACGCTGGTCAGTGCGGGTTGGTGGAGGCGGCAATTGGCCAGGTGGGAGCCCCAAGATTTGGGTCGCGCCCAGGGCCAATGGAGCATCGTGGCCTCCCCTTGACCCCATGGGGTCATCGTGACGCTCGCGGTCTCCGACTTGGCGACAACAATAATAATAGTTAAATTTGTAACGCGCAAATTTGCAGACGTAGTGGCCGCAACTCAGAGGCGCGGAGCCAAGCTCAGAGTCGCTCGAAAGCACGTGGCTGTAGAGGTGAGTGTTTAAGTCTCTCTTGAAGGAGGCGATTGAGGTGATGCTGCGAATGTGCAGAGGGATATCGTTCCAGACTGTTGGGGCTGCCACCGAGAAGCGGCGCGTAGACACGGTGACCATCCTGGATCTTGGTATCAAGAGGAGGTCGTGAGTCGCGCTGCGCAGGCATCTGCCGTGCGCTGAGCTGCAAGTTGTCACAATGTTTCTACAAACTGAAGGGTGCAGCCACTCGACAGCTCTTCGCAGCGAAATTGACGCGTATCGAACGAAATTCATGTCCCAGAAACGGAGGCTCTACGTCCAATGTTGTGTTACTCACGTTACCGTCATTCAAAAGCATTCCGTTACGTGGCATTTACGTTTCTTTACGACCGCTTGTGTTACGATCGAAACGTAGTTGTTTTTGTTATTTTTTGTTATTTTCTTTGAACCTATCTACGTGACTTTACCGAAAGACCCAAGGATATGAATTCCTGCAGTCACGAAAGCTTTAAGTCAAGATTTAGAAACGGTATTACTTCAAATGCTTAAACTGTTGAAAACAAATCTCATGTGGTTATCACGGGGGAGGGGGGGGGAGCCCCCCAAATCGTAGCTTTGGCCACTGCCACGCCACTGATGTTAGCCGTGCTCAAACGACGGTAGCGCCACGCTGCCTGCACACCCAACATGGTTAGTACTGGTAGGAACCACCTGGTTCCACCAGCCCACAGGGGATTATTGTGTCCGTCTGTCCGTCGTGCATCCAAAAATGGGAGGGGTCAGGCTGGGTGGAGAGGGGAGGGTGGGGAGGGGGCTGGGTGGGGAGGGTGGGGAGGGGCTGGGTGGGGAGGGGAGGGTGGGGAGGGGCTGGGTGGGGAGGGGAGGATGGGGAGGGGCTGGGTGGGGAGGGGAGGGTGGGGAGAGGCTGGGTGGGGAGGGGCTGGTCACCCCGTGGTGCCCTTATAAAACTCAACGTTTAACCTACTCACGCCGGCTTGTGCCCGCCTTCACAGTCGGCCATATTTGCGGAATACACCACGCCGCCGTTGACCCTGGACATTGACCGAGCAACCCAACGTTCCTACCAGCTCCCTCCGCAGGAGGAATGTGTTTAACAAGGCCATCCATTGTCTTCTCCGCAGCGGTGATGTTCCACAGCTGCCAACCCATCACGGTTTACCCCGTCTCTATTCTTGTACAGGGAAATCGAGTTTTGAGGTTCATTGATATGTATAAGGGGCACGGGGTGACCAATATAGTATGAATTGGTCCGTAATAAGGTAGGCACTAAATTTTGATTTAAAGCTTTCGTGACTGCAGGGATTCATATTCTTGGTGCTTTCGGTAAAATCACGTAGAAGGGAAATAATAAAATAATAAAAATATCAAACAAAAAATCCTCACGACGTTTCGACTGCAACACAAACAATCATCATCAGGTGTGAAATCCACAGCAAGAAAATTGTTATTTCACACCTGATGATGATTGCTTGTGTTGCAGTCGAAACGTCGTGATCATTTATTGTTATTTTTTATGTTTTTATGCTTTATTATTTCCCTTCTACGTGACTTTACCGAAAGAACCACGAATAAGGTAGGCACTGATAAGGGGTTGACAGGTATGGGGCCGTCCATAAATGACGTCACGCACCTGGGGGGGGGGGGGGGTCAGACATTTGTGACGATGTGTGACGAGGGGGGGGGGGGTGAGAAAGAAATGTGACGTCACATAAAAATGCGCAACTTTAAATAAATATAAACAACACGTTCTACTTAATTAAATATACTTTCAAATAAATGTAATTTCTTTGTCAGTGGGCAAACGTACAAATTCAGCAGGGGATCAAAAACTTTTTTCCCTCACTGTAGATAGGTTGAAAGGAAAGAACAAAAAACTACGACGTTTCCATCGCAACACAAGCGGTCGTCTTCAGGAATAGGGGGGTTAGCTTCCAAAGGCAAACTATTCATAAGGGTTTCGATTTAAAGCTTTCGTGACTGCAGGGATTCATCTTCTTGGTTCTTTCGGTAAAGTCACGTAGAAGGGAAATAATAAAATAATACAAATAAAACATAATTAAATAACTCTCACGACGTTTCGGCCACAACGCAAGCAGCCGTCCTCAGGTGGAGAACAGGTCTGTCGAGAAGACAGAGTCGACACACCTGTTCTCCACCTGAGGACGGCTGCTTGCGTTGTGGCCGAAACGTCGTGAGAATTATTTTATGTTTTATTTTTATTATTTTATTATTTCCATTCTACGTGACGACTTTACCGAGAGAACCAAGAAGATGTTGGAAAATTTTTGCTTCCGTCAGTGGAACGATTCAAGCGGTGACGTCACAACGGGGGGGGGGGGGGGGGCGTAGAGGAACCGGATCCGCGAGGAGGCCCGAGGATCCGGTTCCGGCGTAGTCGTGACAATGGCGGCCTCCATGCTGAGGCGTGCGGACCGCGCTTCGCCCAGACGTCTCCTCCTCCTTCGCCTCTCTCCTCCTCCTCCCCACGCCGACATCTCCCTGCCCCTGCGGCTCCTCGCGCGGGGTCTCGCGGCCTCCTCGCCCCCCTCCTCGAGTAGCGGCAGCAGCAGCAGCAGCAAGAGGAAGTCGCCCTTTCGTAAAGGTGACGGTCGCTCGCCGCTAGGCCGTCACCGTCACCGCCGTTTATTGTAATTGCTATTATTGTTATTTGCAAACTAAATAAGCGCATTGCAGTGCACACCTTCCCATAGTTGCCCCCAAACACGAACAATTAATATTAAAATTTTTACACATCCCATCAGCGGCAAATCAAGTTTAAAGAGATGTATAATGTATCGGATTCCTCCACAGCAAAGATTCTGCAATGAGCCTATTGCAGCCCTACGAAGCATGCGAACAATTAACATTTATTTTTACGCATCCCATCAGCGGCACGGCCCGTCTGAGTGAATTGCTAAATTTCAGCAGCATTAGTTCAAATACTAAAACATCTGACAGGCGGTTGTTCACAATCACCACCTTCATCAGCAGTGATGCTGCCTGTGTAGCTTCAGTGCATGTGATGATGATATAGACCGTGCGTGGTTCACCCATGAAAGAGTCGGTCGCTATGGTTTTCAAAGGAAGGTTTGCAACGATTTCCGTGAGTGATGGCTGGGCGTGACTGCTGTGCGTTTCCCAATTTCGTTGTTTAACGGGAATTTTAAGAAGAAAAAGTTGGTGAATTTTGACCGTGACACCGATACCCAATGGCTTACTCTTTTGCAAGTACTGTCACGCGTAGTTATGGAACGCCTTGCCACGTGCAATCAGGGAAATCAGAGTCGGTAGATATATGTCAGTCTCCTTTGAAACCCCAACTCTTTAAAGTGACCTTAGTTTGGTCGGCTGCCCTGGTTCTGTCTTTGTTTTATCTGATTTCATGGGAGGATGGAATGCGCATTATACATTTTAATTATTATTCAGTCTGTTATGGTCATTACCCACCGCAGTATTAACCAGCAGAGGTGTGGACTCGAGTCATGTGACTTGGACTCGAGTCAGACTCGAGTCATGAATTTGATGACTTCAGACTCGACTTGGACTTGCATAACAATGACTTTGTCCCACCTCTGAGGTGTGGACTCGAGTCATGTGACTTGGACTCGAGTCAGACTCGAGTCATGAATTTGATGACTTCAGACTCGACTTGGACTTGCATAACAATGACTTTGTCCCACCTCTGTTAACCAGGGCAGCCGCGGGGCTTTAACCTCTGAAGCAAGTGGCAAGCAATCTTTCGCTGGGTTTATATCAACGCCCCAAATGCTTAGTGCCTCTATTATTGGGGAGGTTGTAGCTGTCATAGATGACTGTTGCTGTTCATGTTGTTTACGTGTGTGTATGTTGAACTTCTCTCGCACCGTACGTTGCCAACCGTGCTAATCGGAGGTGCGGGGGAAGGACGGCAAACTGTGGGCGCCACGGTGGCTAGGAGATGTTGACTACCTCGCCTGGTATGCAGGAGGTCGTGCGTTCAATCCCGACCCTGACTCCTGTATATTTGGAGTTTGCGTGTCTCTCTCTCCCCGTGGTCGTGTGGATTGTACCCCGCTTCCTCCGGTTTTTCCCCTCCACATTGAGAAACGTGCGTTCAGAGTATTTTGCTCTTCATTTCCGCACGTTTGCTTCCGTTGTTGATGATGCTGTTGTTGTTGTTGTTGATGTGTGCGAGCAGGTGGGGAGGGATTTTCCAAAGGAGCACGCCAGCCAGAGAAATGGAGGCTCAGGCTAGAGGTGCGGTATACCGAGCACGGATCCTTTTACACGCTTTTATTTAACTCACTCCGTCTGTTGTCGTATCATCAAAAAATCTTGTAACTCAATTTTTACTCACTTCCCAATGTGCTATCGACTGCAAACTTGGTATACTTATGTCATTCTAGATTTGAAGCTTTCGTGACTGCAAGGATTCATATTCTTAGGTTTTTTCGGTAAAGTCACGTAGGTAAAAAATGTAAATAAAATTAATAAAAGTAAAATAAAAAATCACGACGTTTCGGAGGCAACACAAGTCTCCGTCCCACCTGATGACGGAGACTTGTGTTGCCTCCGAAACGTCGTGATTTTTTATTTGTTATTTTTTATTAATTTTATTTTTTACCTACATGACTTTACCGAAAAAACCTAAGAATACTTATGTCATACTGATGACAAGACTATATTCTATCATAAAAAATAAATAATTGATATTTTTAAACATTTTACACGCTTTTATTTAACTTACTCTGTGTGTTGTCGTATCCTCAAATCTTGTAACTTAATTTCAACCGTCTTCCCAATGTCGTATCGACTGCAAACTTGGTATAGATAGGTCGAGGCGCGCGCGACGTGCGGGGTTGAGGCACGCCACGTGACCAGCACAGCTGACAGCAGCGCGGTCACGTGGCTTCTGTATGCATTTGAGTAATAAGTAGTGTCTAAATTATTTTATACAACCCCATTAATGTATAATATACCACATAAAATATAATTTATTTTCCTCTGGAACGGATTATTTCCTTTCACTTTATTTCTCATGGGAAGAATTCGTTTGGTAGACGTTATTTTCGGTATAAGTCCTACCCCTTCTGGAACGAATTAACGACGTATACCGAGGTACCACTGTATGATGGCGACTAAGTACAAAAATCGATGCAGTGAGGTAAGGACGTCGAAACAAACTGACGCAAGGTGCAGTGGGCACCCATGGGCGATCAGCCCACCCACGGATCGCGACGATGATGATGACGATGAACTCGAGTGTTTGTGTTCATAGTGCGGCGTGTGAACCGCTCACGCCATTCTTCCCCGCACGCGCCTGGCGCACGGCAGCGTAATGAATCCATCCCTATTTGTAATGTTGTGGCGGGGGTCTTTAATCGCTTTTCGCAATGTCCTCGTGGCAGAATGCTACGCTGCGGAGCGAGAGAATGAAGCCAGACCAGGACTGGAGCAATGTCTACGCCACGGCCGCCTCCTTCAAACCGGCGGCCGTGCCGCTGCCTCTCCGCATGGGATACCCGCTGCGGAACGCGGCTCCCCCAGACAAGTGGGGAAACCTGGAGCTCATTAAGGTGAGAAATTGATGGACTGAGTGAGAACTCGTGGCTTTCAAACTGCTTTTTGTGTGTTTGGTTTGTCATCCTTCCCCCGCACCTCCGATTAGCCCGGTTGGCTACGTACGGTGCAAAAGAAGTTCAACATACATACACTTTGACAGTGAATCGTCTGTGAGCTGTACGCCTTTTGGCGTCCTCTGGTCTAGCACCAATTGAGACGAGGCTCAAAAGAAAGCCGTCTCTGGTGTGGACCAATCGGTTTCAAGGACAATGCATATATTATCATAGTGTGTTTTTTGTTTGCATTTTGACCACAAGTATTGTGGTTAATGCAGACGCGATTCCTTGTAAATGGGTTTCAGTTTTGTTGCCAGAGAAAGGGGAAAACCCTATTAATATATTTTGGTACTGGCAAAGGAGGTCTAATGAAACAGAATTTTTTTACATGATTAACCGTTCAAGTTTATGTTAGCATTTAGTTATCATTATGTATATATATTTGAAGAACTGTACTCATGGTTAAATGTATGCAATGTTATCTAAGCTCCAAATGACTACAAATCCTTACCCATGTGTTACAGGTCGCAAATTTTTTGCATCTTACCCCACCGGCCATCGAGAAACATTGTGCCGCCCTGAAAGGTAAAGTGTGGGTTAGTCGACGTCATCATCATCAGCCGTCATCATCATCAGTCAATTCGCTGGTAGATGAATGCTTTTTCAAGTTGTCACCATGACACTACGGTGATGCTGCTGAAGCGGTAATAAATCGGCCACGTTTTTTCCACCACATGACACCCTTATTAAACCACTCCCGTTCACGTACGTCATTGAAAAGGAACCGGAAGAAAAACTTAAATAAAATAACTTTATTGATAGCGAGGCTCCCGCAAGGCCATGCGGGAGGGCGTGTGGCACAGTTTGGCGCCGGCTATCATCGAGTGCGGCGGTTGTCCCGCTGCAGTTCTCTGTGGTGGGTACAACATCTTTAAAAACAACGACGATGCTACGACTCCCTGAACAAAACTTGACGGCGAGCCGCTGGCGAGTTCCGAGATTCGGCCGTGACCGGAACACCGACGATGTAAAACTAGCAGACGTCTCGGAACGGGAAAGGGTTAATTGCCTGTGTCGGGCAGACGAGGGGTGTACGACAAAACGTTTCATTTCCGCGGGCGATCTGACCCAAAAAAAATGGACCGCGATCTACAATCACTGTATTTGGCGGTGGAAATCGATCGCTCTTTGGCTTACCGGCGAGCCGAAACAATAACGGCCGGTGCGTTAGACAGCTCGTACGCGCGGCGATCGCTTTGGTCGCGTCGGGCGGTGGGGGGGGGTCTTGACGACCCGAATTGGCTCGGACCGCTGCTACGTGGCCTAACCCAAAACAATTATCGTGATATCGTGCTGTGGAAACTCGCTGCCTGTTCCGAGTGAATTTTGGCAACACGTTCCCGTGTGCTTCATCTTTTCCCTCCTCCTCTTCCATTGTCGCCCATGGCAGAGTTTTGCACGGAGTGGCCGGCCGGTCTCGACTCGGACGAGAAGTGTGAGGAGTACTTCCCCCTGGAGGTGAAGAGCACGGACTACGTGTCAGCGGGGCCCTCCATACGCAACGCCAACGCCCGCGTCGTCACCCTCTCCGTGAGTCCCCGCAAGTCATGCATTTTAACACCTCGCTCCTCGCGGCAACAAGCGCCTCGGGTTCGATTTCCTGACTCCCTACGCCTTTCCGTGCGGAGTTTGTGTGTTCTCCTCCTGTCCTGCGTCGATTTCCCCACCCCCCTCTCCGTTTTACTCCCATAGCTTAAAACTCTTTCTCACTCGGTTTTTCTTCCGATTCCGTCTCGATGGCGTAACCCGTACATCACCGGAGTGGAATCGGAAGTAGAAGTCCGTGCGGGAGCGTGCACGTGGCACAGTTTGCCGCCAGTAGAGTGCAGTCGCGTCGCTACGGTACCCACCGCAGAGTCTTTAGAAACAGCGGCGCTATGGTACCCACCGCAGAGTCTTTAGAAACAGCGGCGCTACGACCTCTTCGAATAGAATGAACGCTGAACCGCTCGTGCGTTCCTCTGTTCAGCGGTCAACGGGACCCCCCCCCACCCACCAGAGGTCGCAAACGGGTTTTGATTCCTTACCCGTACCCGGCCGCACCAGGGTCGCAAATGGGTACCCGTACCCGTACCCGGCCGGGTAGCCGGGTATCGGGTAGGGTACGGGTATCGGGTACCCGGTTGCGACCTCTGCCACCCACCCTGCGACTTGGAGACGTCTCGGAACTGGAAAAGGTTTCAGCTGAGGGTGGCGGCACGCGAGAGCGAATCCGGGAGGAGATCGTTCCACGTTGAAGCAGCAGCAGATCTGTGTCTGAGCGAGAGTGCGTGCGTGTGTTCTACCTGTGGGGAGCGGTAGTGTAGCGGTTAGCGCGCTGCACTACGAACCCGGCGACCCGGGTTCGATTCCCGCTCACGGCCAACACCGGTGACGATTATCTGAACCGGTCCTGGGCCTCCCCGAGGTCGACTCTGCCTCAAATGAGTACCTTGTGCGGTGTGTAAACATCGCTACTGGGGAGACAAAGGCGGTCGGGCGTGGTGCTGGCCACCCACCCCCTTTTGTGTACTGTTCCGGCCTTCATAGGTGCTGCTCGCTAACAGCACTTGCCCCTACAGTCTGTTAAGGCTACATGGGGGGTCTTTGTCTACCTTCGAGACACGAAACTCTTTTGATTTTGGGACTGAAGAGCAGAGCCATTGCTGGAGTAATTTTTATTTTAAATAATCATAAAAAATGTTAGTTTTTTTTAGTAGAACCCCTCTTAACGAGCAGCCTTGTTAACGACTAATCGCTTAACGACTGGCCTCTATAGAGCCCAATGTGTTCACTTACCGACCATTCTCCTTTTCACAACGGGCTGTTGTCGGTATATATTAATTAACGCGTTTATTACGACTATAATGAGCCAAGAATGTCTGTGTTTGTGTGTGATGCGCGTGACGTCACTCCCCCCCCCCCCCGCTCATGAATATTCATGAGCGGGTGGATTTTTACACTCACGCAGAAGGTCGAGCGGAATGTAATTTTTTCGCAAATTCGCTTGAAGTTTGACGTTTCTTTATTTAAAGTGAATCTAATAAATAATTCTACGCAGCGACAAAGTGGATTTGGTGTCTTTATTTATTTCTTCAGCACTTGAGACAAAATGTAAGTCTAATTTATGCTTCTACATTATGGTAACATAGACATTTCTCAGTGATTTTTCAGATATTTTATCGAATTCCACTTTATTTCAACCCCAGCGACCGAAAGCAGAAGAGAATAAAGTATCGGAGCAGTGAATTTTAACAAATTGAAGGTCAAATTTCGATGTAAAGCTTTCGTGACTGCAGGGATTCATCTTCTTGGTTCTTTCAGTAACGTCACGTAGAAGGGAAATCATAAAATAATAAAAAATACAATTCTCTGTGGTTTTCACACCTGATGATGATTGCTTGTGTTGCAATCGAAACGTCGTGAGAATTTTTTTTTTATAGTTTTATTTTTATTATTTCCCTTCTACGTGACTTTACCGAAAGAACCAAGAATATAAATTGAAGGTCAGTTATATGCAGTGGTACAGTGAAATGCAGTGAAGTGTTTGATGACGTACTTTTGTGCAAGATTCACTGCCATTAAATTTACACAAGATACAATTATACTCTGCCCAATTTATTCGTAAATATTACAGCTTTCGTCCTAGCACGGGCAAACAAGCTAGTTAATTAATATTTACCTACAATAGCATGTGTTTATAATGTTAGTATCTTTACGTATTAATATCCATTGTTCAAATATCATAAAGTACATTTTTTGGATGCTAAAGGATAACTTTCGATGCTATCGGAAGGAATTAAGCCATTAACGTGCATTTCCTATACTCGCTTAACGACCAAATCACTTAATGGCCGGTTTTGTGGAATCAATCACCGTCGTTAAGAGGGGCTCCACTGTATTTATATACAGTGGAGCCCCGGAGATTGAACTTAATTCGATGCAGAAGGCCATTCGAACACCGATTTGTTCGAACACCGAATACATTTTCCCCATAAGATGAATGTAAATGACATTAATTGGTTCCAGACACAAGAAATCTCTCATTATAAAGCATTTTGCACGAAGTTTACAGTAACTACATGCATAAAATCATACAAAAAAACAAGAAACACAATAAATAAATGAAATAAATGAATATATATATGGAATAAATGAAATAAATGAACATTTAACTTTACCTTGTAGTAAGGAGAGTTGTTGGCTTGAGTGGAAGGTGGTGGTGGTGTTATTGTTTGGAAGGGGAGTCCCCTTTGTCTGAGCAAGCGTCATGCACGCTGCCCATACGCGTCTCAGCCGTACAGGTTCTTTTAAGTCGCGATTGCCCATTCGACCTCCGAATTTCGTTCGGTTTCCGGGGCAAAAAAATGTTTGGAAATATCGTTCGAACACCGATGTGTTCGAGTTCTGGTGCGTTCGATCTCCGAGGTTCCACTGTATAGTTTAAATATATTACTTTAAACACGCCCGTGTGTTCTGCTGCCGCACTCGCTTCACTCGGTACGCCTGCAGCTGGCTCGGACGTCTGCAACGTCTGCGTGTCGTTTCCTTGTGCCCTTTGCTTATCCGTTGATTTAAATTCCCCGCGCCGCCGATCCGCCCCGCAGGTCCGGCTCTCCAGCCTGAAGTTGGACGACCACGCGAGAAAGAAGCTTGTCAAGCTGGTGGGAGACCGCTACGACAAAGCGACCGACGTTCTCACCATCAGGACGGAGAGGTTCGTGGCGCCGACACCGAGCCCGACCGCCGCTGTGATGTGACGCGCGCACACTCTCTCTGTCCGGGTGTTTATTTCTTCCGCAGCAGGAATCCGATGAGCTATGAAGCTGTTTTTTTGTCAGAGATGTCCACTAGGGGCAAGGAGTCGGTACGTTACAAAAACAAACAGCGCAGAAAACACGATTGGAGGGCTCAGAATAGGAGGGGTAAGGAAATCACTAAAAATATTATACAGGTAGTCCTCTACTTATAATGGAGATGCGTTACGACGACCCCATCGTAAGTCAAAAATAGCGTAAGTCGAAGATGGCCTAGCCTACCCAGGAGTCTTAAAGAATGGTGATAATTTAGCAAAACAGAGCAATTTACAGTACCGTATTGTATAAACTATATACTGTATGTATTTATTAATTACAATACTGTATTGCACAGTAAAATGTTAAATAAAAAACGAGGTAAATTCTTAGCCTACCTATATGAACTGCAATTTAATAGAAAGTTTTTTCAGGAAACAATCCTATCTGCATCACACAAGGCGGGAGATGCGTACAGTACATCCCGGCAGCGTCCCAACGTACAGCATCGTACCTCGTACGCTGCTGCGTTTGCCTGCTGCGCGAAATTTAAAATATGTTACAATTTTGCCGTATCGCCATCGTAAGATCAAAATATCGTAGGTCGGACCGTCGTAACTCGGGGACTATCTGTATATAACAATAGGAGAGGTGAGCTTACGCACAATGAGCTATTAGCTTCATTGTTTAGAAACGACCTGGCTATCACAAATGATAGTTCAACGAAGCGGCTTATCTTCATGTGGAAATTTATAGCAGCAGCCAAATCCTCTAGACGCCTGATATTGATTCTAAATGTGGGAAAAACCGGAGGACCAAATATACAGCTGCAGGTCTCGTGGTCGGGGTCCAACCCACGCCCTCCTGCATACCAGACAAGGTAGTGAACATCTCACTCTTGCAAACGAGATTTCCCCCCCCCCCCCCCACTCTCTCCTTGGCCTCGTGGCTTCTCGCCTGCTGCAACAAAAATAAAGCTGACGAAACTGCTGACGCCCGTACGTCGGAAGTTTCGTCGGTCCAAACTCACACGACCGCGCGAGTCCGTGCGTCGCCAGCCCGCGGTGAGGGATGCTCAGCAGGGTGGCAGCAGGATGGTAGGAATTTGACGAAAGGATTGGGTAAGCAACTTGCAGGTTAGGAATAGAATGTCGGTGTCATTTTGGAAGAGGTTGTGATGGGTGGGACACTGACTTACCTGTACAATCAATATGATGTCTGTAACATGCAAGCACTGCTTAATAATTTGCACTTGCAAGCGTGCGTAATCACGTCCCTACCTCCCCTGTTGTTGTTTTTTAGGTGTCCTGTTCGGAAACAGAACCACGACTACGCAATGTATCTGTTGACCATCCTCTACTACGAATCTTGTGTAAGTATCCAGGCGACAGGGCTTCTACGTTGGATTATTACCCGCTGGGCAAAACAATGAAATCAATTGCGATTCGTAACATTGGCTGCAAAATCATGCGCATCCAGTGATGATAATGGTGCTCATATTTTAACTTGTAATGCCCGCGCGGTCTTCAATTTACTCAGCCCGGTTTGCGCGTAGCGATCATCTCCCCCTACGGGCATCTTTTACCGATTTTACAGGATACGTACCGAATCACCGTGTCCCGCACAGGGACAGCTGCCATTGGGGGTGCCCTAGACTAGACACCATAGCAGCAATCATCGCCCCCTACTGGCAGAGTAATGTACTGATTGCAGGCCAAGTCGCCGAGTCACCGGGTGCGGCTGCCACGCTGGGGTTGCCCTTTGAAACGCGTTGAGATGGTGATGTGATAGTAGTAGGTTTTTACCCTTTCAACTGGTACAAAAACTGACATCTTTATACAAGGCATCATGTTTGCAATAACCACAACACAAGCAGTCAAAATGCAAACAAAAAGAAACAACTCTGATAATGTATGCACTGTCCATGAAGTTGATTGGTCTACACCCGAGACAGCTTTTCTTAGAGCCTAGTCTCCATTGGTGTTGGACCAGATGACGCCAAAAGGCGCACAACTCAAAGACAGCGCACTATCAGAGTGATGGTGATGTGAGTTGCTTGTCCACTTCCCCGAGACGCCACGTGGATGTCAACAAGGGCGGCTGTATCAGAACCACTTGGAGCTGTGCTCTTTTGAATATTAATTGAAAACTCGCTTCTTTCGATCTGCCTTTTGTAATTAGTTTGTTGTTTCCCCCACAATGCCGGTGAGCGCAGTTGGTTATGTACGGTGCGAAAGACGTTCAACATACATAATATACCATCACCACCTCATCACCATCACCACAACCTCATCACCATCATCTCATCACCATCACCACCTCATCATCAAGCCATTGGAGCTATGCACTTCTAAATCTAGATTTAAACCTTTTCTTTAGAACTGCTTTTTGTGTTTAGTTGGTTGTCCTTCCCCCTGCACCACCAATTAGCACGGTTGGCTGTGTAGTGTTCAACACCTGCGTACATACGTACGTACATACGCACGTGACCGCTTATTCTCACCTTCAGAAAGTGGAGCCGTGGGAGGCCGAGAAGACGGATGCCGACCAGGAGGAGTACGTGTGGGAGAAGAGCCCTTCCGAGCGCAACCTGTCCCAACTGCTGTCGCGAATTCGGCAGTCGCGTGGCAATGCGGAGGAGGAGGAGGAGGCGGCGGCGCCGGACGACGTGGAGAGCTACAGGAGAACGGTGACGGAGCTCAAGAACCTGGGCGACACGGAGGACAGGATCGCGGCCTACAAGGATTCCGTGAAGAGGCTCCTGCGGCTGAGGGCTCGGTAGTCGCGAGTGACGGCCTGTCCTCCTGCAACGCGGCAGCGTTTGCGTTCCTGAAAGAACGGTGCGTGATTGGAAAGGATCGCGTCGTGATGAATAACACTGGTCAACACACTTTTTCTGGCATAAGGTATTCCAACGGTTTTAAGGTAATTTTGGGGGGTGCTGATTCCAAATCTGGCATCAGTTTTTGTCTATCACATCACAATAAAAACTACAGAAGAAAAATATTAAATAAATGTGGATATCTACATAAAATGATATTATAAACACACTATCCTAAAAATACAGCACCATATTTTAAAACTAAAGCAGTCACTGACTCGCAACAACTTGCAATCATAAGTGACAGAGTTAATTTCGGGTAAAATCAATGAAAATGGGGTATGCCGATAGCATAAAAATGAGATGTGATATAGCAAATCTGAGATCAGATTTTGAATCGGCACCCTGAAATTGGTCTAAACAGCTGCAAAAGTCCAGGCCAGAAAAAATGTGTTTTTGTTGACCAGTGTAATATATATTGTAGGGTAAGGCACGGGTCCGTGAGAACACGTGATACGCGTACGCAGGCCGAACAAAGACTTCAGGGCGCGTGGGTAGCATCTAGAAGTATCCAGCAGCATCCCGATTTGTGCGATGCTACGCCGAGGCGGCCGTACAACTGCTTACTGCATACTCGTGCGACTTAGTTCCGTTCACTCAATCGCGTTATAAAAAATGTGTTCCCTAATACAATCATCGCGTTATGTATCCCAATTCGCGTTATGAATGCAGCGGCCTCTGATGGCTTCAGGGGTCACGTAAACCCTTGACAACGTGTACCAATGGAAACCGTTTGATTCTTATGCACGCGATTCCAGTCCCGTGTAACGTGCGCTTAATAATTGATATCAACTGGTGGCATCCTTGCTACACCTCTGCTACGCGTACCACGTTGTGTACGTGAATGGTTTATTGTCACTTTGTACAAGACGATGCTTGCAATTGAAAGGTAGAAAATGCATTTACATTCGCTGGAGCGATTAAACTTTTGACTGAAGACGTTTGATTCATTTCTTTGGCGTTCGTCTGTGGTTCACTCTGAATGGCCTCCAATCCAAATCAAACCTCTCCCTTTCAACACAATTGGCATTGGCAGGAATCGAGGCTTGAAGATAAATACGAATGTTTTAAGAGGATCGGATAACAACAAAAAACCCAACCATGACTCAATCTTTGGGTGTTTAGGTAAAGTCACGTAGATAGGTTCAAAGAAAATAACAAAAATAACAAAAAACTACGACGTTTCGATCGCAACACAAGCGTGCGTCACCAGGAACGCTTGGGTTGCGATTGAAACGTAATTTTTTGTTATTTTAGTTGAACCTTTCTACGTGACTTTACCGAAAGACCCAAAGAATATGAATTCCTGCAGTGACTTATTGGAAGTCAGAAGTAGTTATATGATGTCTTCTTAATTACGTCTTCTATTATAGCGACGTCGCTTCTTTTCCTTTCAAATTTGGGTTAACAACCCCTCCTCCCATCGCTGCTGTATTTCTGTGACACGAATGAACGTCTCTAGAAAATCTAATTTCCTTCCCTAAGGAAGATGGCCACTATCTCGGTCTGTACCCTAAGTAAGATGGCCACGTCTCGTTCTTCCCGAAGTAAGATGGCCACGTCTCGCTCTCCCCGAAGTAAGATGGCCACCGTCTCGTTCTCTCCGAAGTAAGATGGCCACCGTCTCGTTCTCCCCGAAGTAAGATGGCCACCGTCTCGTTCTCCCCGAAGTAAGATGGCCACCGTCTCGTTCTCCCCGAAGTAAGATGGCCACCGTCTCGTTCTCCCCGAAGTAAGATGCCCACCGTCTCGTTCTCCCCGAAGTAAGATGGCCACCGTCTCGTTCTCCCCGAAGTAAGATGGCCACCGTCTCGTTCTCCCCGAAGTAAGATGGCCACCGTCTCGTTCTCCCCGAAGTAAGATGGCCACCGTCTCGTTCTCCCCGAAGTAAGATGGCCACCGTCTCGTTCTCCCCGAAGTAAGATGACACCGTCTCTCCCTAAATAGGATAACTCCGCCTCACTCTCCCTAAGTAAGACGGCCGCCGTTTCCCTCTTCCCCTCAGTAAGATGGCCACCATCACTACCCCGAGTAAGATGGCAACATCTCACTTTTCCCTGAGTAAGATGGCCGCTGACTCGGATGTTGCTTCATTTGCCCGCGGTGACGCAATCTTTGTAATTCGAAGTGACGTCAGTCCAAGAGGTTCATCGCGCGTCAGCTCTGTTGACGTCGTGTGTTCGTCACCAAGTTACGTCACGTCTCCCTCCACACAGACCCCTCGACTAGGCTCTGCTTCCCCCCCGGTCTCTGCTGCTCCCGTTGCAGCGACTGCTGCTGCTGCTGCGTTCCACACAAAGTGCGGTGCCTGGAACCTGGGCCTCGACAAAGCGACCGGCCCTTTCCCCCGCCAACCCTCCCCGGCTGAGAGACACCCGGACCCGGCCGTGGCTCAGGCAAGAGATGGGGGCCCGAGGCAGTCCAGGCCGCAGCTTCCATTGCTGCGAAACTTGAATTCTGAGTTATTGGGTCTCTCGTGGCCTGTGTCTCCCATGTCTTCTGTTCGTTCCCCCCTGTTTTCTCCTCAGGTTTCCGTGTCTCCCGGCCCCCGTGTCTCCTGTCTCCCTGTATCTCTTTCCCCTCGTCTCCTGTGTCTCTCTGTGTCTACTGCCCCCTGTGTCTTCTGGCTCCTCTCCCCGTGTCTCTCTGTCTCCTGTCAACCTTGTCTCCTGTCTCCCCGTGTCTCCCGTTCCCCATGTCTCTCTCTCTCTCCGTGTCTCCTACCCCCTTGTCTCATGTGCATCTTGTCCCCTGCGTATCCTGTCTCCCCGTGTCTCCTCTCCCCTTGTCCCTCTGTGTCTTCTGTGTCTCCTGTCCCCCCATGTCTCCATTCTCCCTGTGTCTCCTCTTTCCCCTCGTCTCCTGTGTCTCTCTGTGTCTACTGACCCCTGTGTCTCCCGTCCCCCATGTTTCTCTGTCTCCTGTCAACCTTGTCTTCTGTGTCTCCTGTCCCCCCATGTCTCCATTCTCCCTGTGTCTCCTCTTTCCCCTCGTCTCCTGTGTCTCCCGTCCCCAGTGTCTTCTGTGTAGCCTGTGTGTCCTGTCCCCCGTGTCTCTGTCTCCTGTCAACCTTGTCTCTCTGTGTCTCTCTGTCCACCCGTGTCTCTCTGTGTCTCTCTGTCCCCCATGTCTCTCTGTGTCTCCTGTCAACCTTGTCCCCCGTGTCTCTCTATCTCCTGTCTACTGTCAACCTTGTTTCCTGTGTCTCTGTCCCATGTGTCTCTCTGTCCCATGTGTCTCTGTGTCTCCTGTCCCATGTGTCTCTCTATCTCCTGTGTCTCTCTGTGTCTCTCTGTGTCTCTCTGTCCCCCATGTCTCTCTGTCCACCCCCCCCCCCCCATGTCTCTCTGTCTCCCTGTGTCCCTGTGTCTCCCACGTCTCTACCCCCCCCCCCCCATCCACCGTATCTCTTGTCCTGTGTCTCCTCTTCTCCTTGTCCCCTGGGTCTCCTGCCCCCCCGTCTCTCTATCTCCTGTGTCTCTCTGTGTCTCCTGTCCCTCGTGTCTCCGTGTCTCGCTGTCTCCCACGTCTCTACCCACCCCCCACCGTATCTCCTGTCCTGTGTCTCCTGTTCCTTTGTGCCCCCTTGTCCCCAGTGGCTTGTGTCTCCCGTGTGTCGCCTGCTTAGCCTCTTGAGATGTGGGTGAACGGAGACGTTCCATGTTGCTTCTAGTTGTGTTTGAGACGGGCTAAGAACCTGGCTGGGGGAGAGCTGTGGCCGCTTTAGTTGGCGCACTTCATCGTGAAGCCAGTCGCGATTGATATCTGCAGTGATCTTGCCTGGTCCACCCGGTACTTGGCAAACACTTGACCAGGGTGGTGAAGTATGCTCTAACACATCCCATGGCCAATACGGCCTTCATCCGGCTGTGGATTGTCAAAGGGCTGTCAATCATAGTTACGTTTTGATTATTAAAACGCCCTCTTGAATCCAGAAGTATATTTTTCAAGTGAGACCTGAATGGCGTATCAATACATTGTAACGGCGCGGATTATCATGCAACACACAGAATCAAGAGGATAATGACAGCAAACAGCTTCCAACTCGACAGATTGAAACGCACGGTGCATATGTGTATAGGGGTCCCTCTGAGGTTAATTTACCAGTACCGCCTTGCCACCATCCATCCATTCAACCTCACTCGAATTCCCTTCACTCACGTTGAGGACTCGCTGTATCAGACGTAAATGTTTAATCTCATTCACAATGTGCACAATCGCCACCACCAACACTGCATCTCACAACCACCCACTCATTTGCCCACTTAAGCAAAAAGACAAAGATTTCCCCTATAGGCTGAACAGGCTGTTGGGGCAAATTCTGTGAGCAAGCGGCTATGAAGGCCGGTACAGCACACGAGGGTGTGGGTGGCCAGCAGCATGCCAGACCGCCTTTGTCTCTCCACTGGCGATGTTTACACACCGCACTAGGTACTCATTTGAGGCTGAGTCAACCTAGGGGAGGCCCAGGACCAGTTGAGATAATCGTCACTGGTGTTAACCGTGAGAATACATTGATCTCGGGTCGCCGGATTCGTAGAGCAGCGCGCTAACCGCTATACCACCGGTCCCCATTGCACCCAAACACACACACTCATCCACTCCCCCATTACCTACACACCAACTCTACCGAAAGAACCAAGAAGATGAATCCCTGCAGTCACGAAAGCTTTAAATCGAAACCCACTCTAAACTCAGCATTTTTTGTTATTTGACCAGGTAAGGCCCGCTTGAGCAATGTAGCTCTTTTCAGAAGCGACGTGGCCACAAATGACAGCTCAACGAAGTGATTAATCATGTGGGACATTCATAGCAGGAGACAGAAGCCAGAATACTCGAAACGCGTGATGCTGAATGTGGACGGGAAAAAAACCGGAAGACCCGGAGAAAATGAACTCTACCACGGGAAGAACATGCAAACTCAATATGTACAGGGGCTTTAGGGTCGGGATCGAATCCACGACCTGCTGCATACCAGGCAGTTAACGTCTCACCACCGCCGTGCCCATCACTCAACCACCACAAGACAAATATCCCCCATACAGCGCTAACAGATTCTAGATTTGAAGCTTTCGTGACTGCAGGAAACCATACTCTCTGGTTCTTTCGGTAAAGTCACGTAGGTAGAAAATTGCACTTCTTTTATTTTATACCAACGTGACTTTAACGAAAGCTCTAATAGAGTTTTGAGGCACATGCTGTTAGCGAGCACAACGCACTCTTTTATCACGCACACACCCGCCCGATGACAACTCACAAACTTCACCCACCCAGCCACCACACCTGCAGATCAGAGCAAAAGACACAAACACTTCTCTCCAGCTTCCAGCCTCGTACTACTTTGACTCGGGAATTCGCTCCGGGTCTTTCTCTTCCTGAAGCTGTAATAAACCTTGCTCAACTCAGCAGACACGTTCACGGCCACCTATTGTTACATCTATCCGTCTGCCTGATGCAGAAGGGTGGACTTAATAGAGGAGCAGTTTGAGCGAAACGTCTCGCAGGGCGATGTCAAATTTAGCCACGAAAAGTCTCAGGCCCCCACCGTTGAGTAGAGAGGATCTTTATCGGTCAGAATATGATCAATATATTGGCACGCGTGAATTATGTCTTTGTGTGCGTGACAAGGTTGTGGAGAGTTGAGTTGACAACAATTTTGGTGTAGGACTGTTACTCGCCCTACACCGGAACACACTCCCACTGCTCAGAAAACAATCATCTTCGCTATAACCTCCTTCCGTTACTCCCTTGAAACAACCTCCATCTCTTCACCCCTAGCCCATCATTCTGCTGCTACGGCTGCTCCCTGCCCCCGCTCCCCGGCTATGACCAGGCCTACTGTATCCCCTATCACTACTCCTATTACTATTCCATCCCATATCACTACCCCATCCCATATCACTACCCCAACCCCCATCACTACCCCAACCCCCATCACTACCCCAACCCCCATCACTACCCCAACCCCCATCACTACCCAAACCCCTATCACTATCTCTATCACTACCCCATCCAATATCACTACCCCTATCACTATCACTACCCATATCACTACCCCAACCCCTATCACATCCCATATAACTACCCCTATCAGTACCCCTATCACTACTGCTATCACTACCCCAACCAATATCACTACCCCTATCAATATCCCTACCCCTATCAATATCACTACCCCTATCATTGCATCAACCTCTATTCACTACCCCTATCACTACTCCCACCCCTATCACTACCCCAACCCATCCTTAACCACTCCCACCTGTTCTTCTAACTGTCACCACCGCTACACCACCACCTGTTTCTTTAATAACAATCCCACTCTTTATTTCAACCACTGTCATCTTACGTACAATGTTACGATTGTTGTGAAGCGCCTTGGGTTTAAGGCGCTATGTAAACCTATGTAAGGTAAATAGACTTGGCCTGACCCAAAAGACAAATACTGAATGGATCTCTGATCGTGCTGTTTGTTGCTGGTCTCTTGACGTTTTTGGGGCCTTTGGGCTCCTGTGGCAGCCAAGGTTGCTGAGAAAATAACAACGGCGGGATGGGTTGTGTTTATTTACTTCCGTGTATGGGAGTGCAGTTAACCGATAAGCAGTGCGGGGTCACCGCCGCCGCCTCCTGAGCAGCGTGAGAAGCTGCTTACCGTTGTGTTATCCGCGTCACACCACGCGGGGTCGATTCTGCCAAGACACACGCACGCCTGTGTGGCATGGGAGGTCGTTCCATGTTGAAGCGGCAGTTGTGTGTCTGAGCTAGAGTGCGCATGTTTTTGCTATGGGGACGATTCAAAAGTTGATTTTGGGTCCAAGGAGCAGCGTTATTGCTGGAGTAATATCACCGTCACGATGCATGGGCAGATTGCCCGTAGGTGTCCGCTGTACACTTGAACATTTGTTTCCACTTTCCTCCGTCTTGTGCCAACTTGCTCAAGGAGTGCGTCACCAGGCTACTGGCACCAATCTCTTGTGATGTCGTCGTCAAGCCATTCTCTGTGAGGTCTTCCTCTCTGTCCGGTTCCTTTCAATTTTTCCCGAACAACACGCTGTTAATTTCCCTGTTGTTGTCCATCCTGCATGTGTGTCCAAATAGCGCCAGTTTCATCCTCATCACTGCCTGCATCATCAGGTTGTCTTCTATGTGCTACTTTTTTCTTACTTCTACGCTGCTCACTCTTTGGGTGCAACTGAGATGCAGTATCCTTCTGTAGCACTCCATTTCGAGTGCCAATGTGTGATCTGATAAGTGTTATATAATAGATGCCCAGTGAGACAGACTTCCATTGCGCAGCGCGTGGTGGCATGTGACGTGGATTTGATTGTGTGTGTATTTGGTTATGGCAAGTAGTGTTTGTGCGTCGGTATGGGCAGCAGTGGCGCAGTGGCCAGGAGTGCATCGACAAGCGATTGAGGGAGTCCTTTAGGGAGTGAACGGGTGTGTGAATGAATAAGTGAATGAGTGTGTTGCATGAGCGAGTGCGTAACTGAAGGAATCTTGCTGGCTATAAACTAAACAAAACCATAAACTATTTTCATTTTACCAGGTAAGGTCCCCTGAGCCATATAGCTCTTCTTCAGAAGTGACCTGGCCATAAATGATACCTCAACGATGTGGCTTATGTGGAAATATAAAGCAGCCAAATACTCTTAAACGCATGTTTCTAAATGTGGAGGGAAAAAACGGAGGACCCAGAAAAAAATCCGCGCGACCATGGGGAGCGAGACAGCGCACACTTCAAATATACAACGGACTGCCCGGCTTGGGTTTGTACTTCAGCGCTGTGACCCCGGACCCTCCTCAAGCAGGGTCCGAACTCGCCAAGGCTGCCTCCTGTGTGTGTAGCAGAGGTCGCAACCGGGTACCCGTTTGCGACCTCTGGTGTGTAGCAAGGCCTAGGGCGGGTAGGGGCTCGTTACGCTGCAACCCGAACTGTAGCCGTGGCGCAAGACAAACGATGACATCGTTGACGACTGCGTAGATTGTGAAGCTGCTGCCTGGCTCGGTTCTAAAGCACCACGCTCAATGTGTGAATGGTCAATGAGTTGAGTGTGCGAGTCACTGTGCGAGCGAGTGAGTGAATGAGTGAGTTAACGAGTGAGTGAGTGAATGAGTGAGTTAACGAGTGAATGAGTGGATGAGCAAGCTCGTGGTTACTGAGCGTTGTGTTCCGCCGCAGGAGGAGAGGCACGGGGCGGTCAGCAGACCCAGTGGGATCGACGCTCCCTCGACCATGTCGGAGCGGAGGTCTAAACTCTTAAAAGGTACGTCGCTCGCCACTCACCGTCACAAATATCTGAACCGGTGGTGGATCTCCCTCAGGTCCACTCAGCCCTTAAATGATTACCAGGTGTGGTCTGTAAACATCACCACTAGGGAGACAAGGACAGCCGGGCGTGGTGCCGGATACCCACCCCCTCGTGTGCCATGCCGGTCTTCATAAGCCTTGTGTACGTGTGTGTGTGTGTACAGCTCTGGATGCAGTGGAACGCATACAGGAAACATCAAGTGACGAAGAGAAACCTCGACACGAGTGAGACACGGAACTCACCCCATTCACCTCACTTCACTTCACTCACCACACACACCACACTCACCACACACACTAATCACACACATACAACAGCACACCACACACACACAACACCATACTAACCACACCACACACAGTACAACACATTCGCCTCGCCACACTCGCCACACTGCACTGACCACAACACTCACCACACCAAATTCACCACACCCCCAACCCTCGCACAACATACACCGTTATCATATGCCCCCAACACACACTCTCAAACCCACTCTCGCCACACACGCACTGCGCTTCAAACCCCACGACCTGAGTTTGATTCCCACTCACGGCCACCAACACCAGTTCACTATTATCTGAACTGGTCCCGTGGCCCTTCACTAGGTCGACTCGGCCTCAAATGAGTACCCGGTGCGGTGTGTAAACATCGCCACTAGGGAGACAAAGACGGCCAGGCGTGGTGTTGGCCACCCACCCCCTCGTGTGCCGTGCCGGCCTTCATAGGTGTTGCTACTCACTAACGGCACTTGCTCCAACATTTGTCTTTTGTGTCCTGTGTCGCGTGTGTGTGCACAGTGAGATAATTCTGTTGAACGAGGAGGACAGCGAGTCTCCAGATGACAAGCAGGTAGTTGTTAACGCCAGTTGTAATGACGACTTGACACACTCCTCTTGAGATGGCACTTTACTGCGGACACGTTCACTTGACATCGGCGGAGACCCCCACTGCAACAGCCCCGGGTCTCCTGAGCATCTCCCCCTTTTATACCAACACGAGGCCACGCCCCCCTTCCCGAACCGTCTCGTTGACTCTGGACGCTCGCTCCACCGGCAGACTCCACGGCCTCTTCCGTCACCTGACCACGCTCCCTTCTAGAACATTCCCGTAGCCACCAGTCTCTTCGCACTCACAACTGACTCCCCTGTCATTACCTCCCGTGGCCACCAGTCCCTTCGCACTCACAACTGACTCCCCTGTCATTACCTCCCGTGGCCACCAATCCCTTCACACTCACAGCTGACTCCCCTGTCATTACCTCCCGTGGCCACCAGTCCCTTCGCACTCACAACTGACTCCCCTGTCATTACCTCCCGTGGCCACCAGTCCCTTCGCACTCACAACTGACTCCCCTGTCATTACCTCCCATGGCCACCAGTCCCTTCGCACTCACAGCTGACTCCCCTGTCATTACCTCCCGTAGCCACCAGTCCCTTCGCACTCACAACTGACTCCCCTGTCATTACCTCCCGTGGCCACTAGTCCACTCACACCGCATGTAGGCTCTACTGTCAATACAATAATACAAATTATTACTATTGCACCGATTTACCTCGGAAAGCATCACTGAGACTCTTATTCAGGAGGGTTCTACCAAGTTTTCGCAGTATGTGGGAGATATTGCTGCTGTGTGTAATCCCCCGCACCTCTGATTAGCATGGTTGGCTACGTACAGAGTGAAAGAAATACGTACAGTTGAGTCATTTGCAGGTAAATTGCCGGCATTTTTTTTGCCAATACCGGTTACGCTGTGGATTTTATTTTTAAACAATGGGAGGAGGAAATCGGAGAAACCCAAAGAAAGCAGGACAGCAGGCGACAGAGAGAGATAATGTACCAACTCCACTCGGTGAGGGCGGCCTTAGTGGGGAGTCGAACCCAGGCGACGAGTGCCACCACGAGCTCTCTCCCGCCGCGCTCACCTAAACTCTTCAACTAAACTATTTTTATTTGACCAGGTAAGCCCACGGAGCTCCATAGCTCGTTTTCAGAAGCGACCTGGCGATCAGAAATGATAGCCCAACGAAGTGGGTTTCCATCGCGTGGAAATGTATCGCAGCAGACAAATACTCTCTACACGCATGGCGTCGATTCTAAATGTGGAGGAGAAAACTGGAGGACCCACAACAAAATCCATGCGACCACGGGGAGAGAGACACGCAAACTCCAAATATACAGCAGCAGGCGTCAGGGTCGGGATCGAACCCATGGCCTCCTGTACACCAGGCGAGGTAGTTAACATCTCCTAGCCACCGTGATGATGATGAGAGAGAGAGACACGCAAACTCCAAATATACAGCAGCAGGCGTCAGGGTCGGGATCGAACCCACGACCTCCTGTAGACCAGGCGAGGTAGTTAACATCTCCTAGCCACCGTGATGATGATGAGAGAGAGAGACACGCAAACTGCAAATATACAGCAGCAGGCGTCAAGGTCGGGATCGAACCCACGACCTCCTGTACACCAGGCGAGGTAGTTAACATCTCCTAGCCACCGTGATGATGATGAGAGAGAGAGACACGCAAACTCCAAATATACAGCAGCAGGCATCAGGATCGGGATCGAACCCACGACCTCCTGCGTACCTGGCGAGGTAGTTAACATCTCCTAGCCACCGTTGACTGCCACTGCTCACCTCTGATGCTGCGGCGGCCGGCCACGGGACTCGTGGTTCTTCTAGGCGTGCCGCTGGTGATGGACGTGGCGATGAACCCACAACCTCCTGTAGACCAGGCGAGGTAGTTAACATCTCCTAGCCACCGCGGCGTCCCGCTGCTGCCGCATTTTGCCGCACGGCTGAATCTGCGTGCCGCTTTTTATGTCCCAAGGAGGTGAAGAGCGTGCCGTTCACCATCCCGCTGAGGACGGATCTGACCAAGGACGTGTCCATGGTTCAGCTGTCTCCGCTGAGGCACCTCAATACGGAATGCGGTGATGTCAAGGTGGGTTCTGCCACGGTGGCTAGGAGATGTTAACTACCTCGCCTGGTGTACAGGAGGTCGTGGGTGCGATCCCGACCCTGACGCCTGCTGCTGTATATTTGGAGTTTGCGTGTCTCTCTCTCTCATCATCATCACGGTGGCTAGGAGATGTCAACTACCTCGCCTGGTATGCAGGAGGTCGTGGGTTCGATCCCGACCCTGATGCCTGCTGCTGTATATTTGGAGTTTGCGTGTCTCTCTCATCATCATCACGGTGGCTAGGAGATGTTAACTACCTCGCCTGGTATACAGGAGGTCGTGAGTTCGATCCCGATCCTGACGCCTGCTGCTGTATATTTGGAGTCTGCGTGTCTCTCTCTCATCATCATCACGGTGGCTAGGAGATGTTAACTACCTCGCCTGGTATACAGGAGGTCGTGGGTTCGATCCCGACCCTGATGCTTGCTGCTGTATATTTGGAGTTGCGTGTCTCTCTCTCTTTCACCGTGGTCTTGTGAATTTTTCCCCGGGTCCTCTGGTTTTTCCCTCCACACTGAGCGTTTAAGAGTATTTGGCTGAATCTTGATTTGAAGCTTTTGTGACTGCAGGAATCCATACTCTTTGGTTCTTTCGGTAAAGTCACGTAGGTAGAAATAAAATAAAACAAATCACGACGTTTCGATCGCAACACAAGCGCTTGTCTTCATGACGACCGCTTGTGTTGGGATCGAAACGAAAGAACCAAAGAGTATTTGGCTGCTTGAAAGTTCCAAGTAACAAGCCGCTTCGTTGAGCTGTCGTTTGTGACGTCCAGGTCGCTGCTGAAAAAGAGCTACATAGCTCGGTGGGCCTTACCTGGTAAAATACAAAATTGTTAAGTTTAGGTTGGGGTCGGCGTCGTGCGGATTTCAGCAGCGGTCACAGTAGCTACGCGCCACGGTTGGTCGATCGTCAGGTCGCGTGCGGTGGGGTAAAGTGTGGGTACCCCCACCTCTTCCGAAGACGTCTGGCCGGCGTGGGGTTAAGGGGAGAAATATCTTCCCAGAGGAGCTCTCCAGAGCTCCCACTCTTGGGGGGTCTTTCCGTCAACAGCGGTGCGAGTAAGACGTTGCAGGGCTGCGCCTCTCTATCCTTTGTGCGTACATATGTTGAACTTCTTTCGCACCGTACGTTGCCAACCGTGCTCATCGGAGTTGCAGGGGGAAGGACAACAAACGAATCACAAGAAGCAGTTCTCAAGAAATTAGTTTGTCAATTCTAGTGCTTGTGACGTGGCGGTGGTGACGATGTGGCGGTGGTGATGCGGTGGTGGTGACGATGCGGCGGTGGTGACGCGGTGGTGACGCGGTGGTGGTGGTGACGCGGTGGTGGTGGTGACGCGGTGGTGGTGGTGACGCGGTGGTGACGACGCAGTGGTGGCGGTGACGCGGTGGTGGCGACGACGCGGTGGTGGTGGTGACGCGGTGGTAGTGGAGACGCGGTGGTGGTGGTGACGCGGTGGTGGTGGTGACGCGGTGGTGGTGGTGACGCGGTGGTGGTGGTGACGCGGTGGTGGTGGTGACGCGGTGGTGGTGGTGACGCGGTGGTGGTGGTGACGCGGTGGTGGTGGTGACGCGGTGGTGGTGGTGACGCGGTGGTGGTGGTGACGCGGTGGTGGTGGTGACGCGTTGTGTGTTGTGCGCAGAAGTCTACGAGCTCGTACTTCGCCAAAGGAGGACGCGGGATACGAGCGTCGCCCACCCAGACCAGGGCCCGGTTGCCCTCCACGGAAAACTCGTCCAGGTAGAGAACTCGGCAAGGTCGCTTCCGGGGTTCCACAATCTGTAGCCCATTACGCTTCTGTTGAACTTCTTTCGAATCGTACGTAGCCAGCCGTGCCAATCAAAGGCGTGGAGGGGGGAAGGACGGCAAATGTGGCAAGGTGGTGACAGCGCAGTGCCGACGCTCCGGCCTCGCGCATCAAGAAAGCACCTGGGTTCGTTTCCCAACTCGTGACGCCTCTCTGTGTGGAGTTTGTACGCTCTCCCCCTGTTCTGCGTGTCTTTCCTCCTGCCATACGCTGGAAAAGAGGCATTTACATTATTGTCCAACTGACTCGTAACTTTTTGGCCACTCCACCACCTCTCCAGTGAAAGTTCTCCAGAATCCGGCAAAATGTTGGGATTGTGGTCTGCGGTATGGAGAACGAACGGATTTATTTAAATACATTTTTTCTGCGATTATTTTTTGCTTGTCATGTGCATTTTTTTCCTGTTATTTACGTATTCATATTTTTTTAATTTGCTAAGTAGTGGGGAACTTTTTTGTACGGAACTGGATAATTGATGTGCAGCGTTGTGGGATGCAATTGCATGAATGACGCTCTATAAAATGAAATTATTAATGAATAAACAGCCATTATTATTAATAACCGAGTTGGCCAAAACATCCCAACATAGGACCCCAGAGCTCAGGCAGTTGTTGTTGGCTCCGGTTCTGTCCGCCTTGCCTCCCGTCCGTCTGTGGTTTACGCGACAACCTCGCAGCTGTTACAAATTCAACAGCAGCCATTGTGGTGGCGCAGCGGTTCGTGCTTCGCTGCGCGACGAACCAGGCAAATTACCCTAGTTGGATTCCCGCTCACGGCCACCAACAGCGATGACGATTATCTTGAATTGGTCCTGGGGCCCTCTCCTAGGTCGACTCGGCCTCAAATGAGTACCCGGTGCTGTGTGTAAACATCGCCGGGCGTGGTGTTGGCCACCCACCCCCTCCTGCGCCGTGCCGGCCTTCCTTTACAGGTGCTGCTCGCAAACAGCACTTGCCCCGGCGGTCGTGTGAAGGCTATACGGGGAGGATCCTTTGTCTTTTGTCTTGTTGTGCCGCTGCACCGTCTGGCCTAGGGAGCAGCTGCGCCCGCTGCGCAGCAGCCCGCAGGCGTCCACGGCGGCCGGCACGGTGGTGGGAGGGCGCTGGTTCCTGCACGCCAACGCCCAGAGCAAGGAGCCATCCCCGCGGTGAGCGCAGCCAGACGCCTCCGGCGGGAGTCGCTCTTCACGCGGATTTCTCGTTGTTCTTGTTACGGTGCCGGCGCCGGTGCCAGCGTGCCGTGGCTGCTGCTGCCGCTGCCGCCAGGCCGCTGTGTTTTACAGAGGGGAGGGGGGGCAGGGGGGGCGTAGGTTGCGGGAGTTTCGAAGTTGGTGAATGTGTAATTTATTTACGTATGTTGAAATAAGTCTAGTGTCGTCATGTATAGTAGTTTAGTGTATGATGAAGTGTATTGCGTAGTGTGTGTAGTGTGTAGTGTAATGTAGTGTATAGCGTAGTATGTAGTGTAGTGTGTATGTATGTTGAACTTCCTTTGCACCGTACATAGCCAACCGTGCTAACCGGAGGACAACAGATTCCAAAGAACACAGGATGAGATGTTACTATCTTTTGTGCAAGCACTTCCAAGAGTTCATGAACAGTGAGCCTGGTGAAATTTGGGGAGCGCATCGTCAGTAGTGAATCTTTGGTTCCTAGGGTGTTTCGGCCTTTCATACTATACACCCTCCCCAAAGGCGGCCAGCGACAGGGTGATCAATCCTACGCTTGCGTCCCATTCCCAATTAGTCATAGGAGTTGCCTTGTTGGGACTATGCATGGCAGGGGCGTCCTCCTCCCTGAGTCAAGCATTGTTGACTGCATACCTCCTGGCCCTCTCACTTTGGGGCCCAGCTGGGGTCTTTCCTCTTCATCCAGAGCCACTGACTGCTGCCTTCTGCCGCCTCCGATACAGCTCTGATTGCCGAACGCTGGCTCTGGCCCTTAATTCCCAGGTCTCTAAGCAGTCTGGTTGTAGATGTTGCCACAAAACCTCTGCAGCCCACCTCCACTGGTCGGACTTCTGTGCTCCAGCCATGATGCCGTGCTTCGGCAGCTAGATCGGCATAGCGCAGATGTTTTCGCTCATAAGCCTCATCTACTGAGTCCTCCCAGGGTACTGTGAGCTCAATGATGAAGACCTTCTTGAGCGAACGGGACCAGAGCACCATGTCAGGTCTTAGGGTGGTGGTTGCGATCTCCGGAGGAAACACAAGTTGCCGGCCAATGTCAGCTAGCATTTTCCAGTCGCGGGCCAAGCGCAGCTGGTCTCGCTCTAATGGTGTAGAGCCGCTCTTCGGTGGTTTAGCCCCTTCGCGGACAAAGGTCGTCCGTAAGGGGTGTTATGCTGCTGGGGGTGGTAGGGAGTTGGTGGCAGCTCGCTTGTCCTCCAGGGCGGACGCAAGGTTTTTAAGGACTTGGTTGTGACGCCAAGTGTAGCGTCCTTGGGTGAGGCTTGTTTTGCACCCTGTGAGAATGTGCCTGAGGTTGGCTGGCATGGAACAGAGGGCACAGTCCGGATCTTCACCATACCATTGGTGAAGATTAACTGGTGTTGGAAGGATGTCATATGTTGCTCTGATGGAAAAGCTCAACCGCCTCACTTCCATGGCCCACAGATCCTTCCAGCTGATCTTCCTCTTCTCCACACTGTCCCATCGAGTCCACTGTCCTTGTTTGGCAAGAGAGACTGCCTTGGCCCACCTTGCAGCCTCCTCCTGATGGCGTACTTCCTGCACTACCATCTTCCGCCGCTCTGGTGCAGTGGCCTTACTCCAAGCAGCACGGCTAGTTAGCCCAAGGCCTCCTCTCCCTTGCTGAACATGACCCACAATGTCAGCATGTCTGAGGGCTGCTGTTGCCTCCTGGACTGCTTTTCCTGGCCTCCATTTGCGCCCAGTTGCCAAGGTCGGCGCGTTGTTGCTCACCACTGGGTCTCGAGATTCATTCAGTGTCATCTGGAGCCTGGTTTTTGCACACTTGAATTCCTCTGTTAGACTGGTGAATGGCAGCTTGAGGACACCATCTCCATAGAGGCCTATGGTGGTAAGGCATTGTGGAACTCCGAGCCACTTCTTTAAGTAGCTCGTGACTCCTCTTTCCATCTTCTCCACTGTTGAGATTGGAACCTCATACACTGCTAGGGGCCACAACACCCGGGGTAGGAGACCAAACTGCAGACACCAGGCCTTTAACTTTCCAGGTAGCTGGGTGTTGTCGATGGACTGTAGGCTACTACTGATGTCTTTGCGCAGCTGTTGCACCTGGTCTTTGTCCTTCAGGCTTGCATCATACCACCTTCCAAGGCTTTTTACCGGCTGCTCAGACACTGTTGGAATTTGGTCATCTCCGATGAAGAATTTCAGGTCACAGAGTACTCCCTTCACAATCGAGATGCTGCGTGACTTGGATGGTTTAATCTTCATACGGGCCCAGCTGATGTTCTCCTCGAGTTTTCTGAGCAGTCTCCTGGTGCATGGGACAGTGGTGGTCAATGTTGTAATGTCGTCCATGTAGGCTCTGAGTGGAGGGAGGCGAAAACCAGAGTCGACTCGCTGTCCACGAGCAACCCATTTTGAGGATCTGATGATAACCTCCATTGCCATTATGAATGCCAATGGAGAAATGGTACATCCCGCCATTATACCTACATTCAGGCATTGCCATGAGGTGGTGAACTCTGAGGTGGTGAAGCAGAACTGCAGATCCTGAAAGTACGACTTCACCAGGGTTGTGATGGTGTCCGGTATGTGGAAAAATCTGAAGGCAGACCACAGGAGTTCATGGGGCACAGAGCCAAATGCATTGGCGAGGTCGAGGAAGACTACATGGAGGTCCCTTTTCTCCACCTTGGCCATTTGGATCTGGTGCCAGATCATGCTGGAATGTTCCAAGCAGCCAGAGAACCCTGATATTCCTGCCTTCTGTACAGATGTATCGACGTACGCATTCCTTTGCAGGTACTCGGCCATCCTCTGGGCAATGACCCTAAAGAAGATTTTACCCTCGACATTCAGTAAGGAGATTGGGCGGAATTGGCTGATGTTCACTGCATCCTTCTCCTTAGGGATCAGGACCCCGCCTGCCCTACGCCACACTTTGGGTATTATCTTCTTTTGCCAAGCTGTTCTCATAAGCCTCCAGAGGAACCTCAGGACGTCTGGTGCGTTCTTATACACTTTGTACGGGACTCCATTTGGCCCCGGGGCTGATGCTGTTCTTGCCCTTCGAACTGTGTTTTCCACCTCTTTCCATGTCGGAGGGCTGGTCTCAATATGATGTTCCGGGGGTTCAATGGGTGGGACATCTGATGGGATGGCCAGATGTTCATGTCGCTTTGAGTCAAAGTTTGTTGTTCTCAGGTGCTCTTCTAGGTCTTTCTTTGTTGTTTTTAGAACTCCACTTTTTTCCTTCGTGAAGAGACTTTTAAGGAACTTGAAGGGATCTTTATAGAATCGAGTTCTAGTTTGTTCTTTCTTCCTTCTGCGTTTCCGTAGGTTCTCTGCTCTACGGAGGGATGCCAACAAACTAAACACACAAAGCAGTTTTAAAGAAATCAGTTTTCACTCTAGACGATATCAAAGTGGCTTCCTAATATCGGAGGGGAGAGCGTTCCAGACGGCTGCAGAAGTGCATCTGAAAGTGCCGCGATGTTGTGACCATCTTTGTTGGAATGCCCGCCTAAAGCCGTTGCTTGTTCATTACGAGCGTGTGTGTTACGGGTGTGTGTATTGTGAGTGTGTGTGTTGTGAGTGTGTGTGTTGTGTGTGTGTGTTGTGAGAGTGTGTGTGTTGTGAGTGTGTGATATGATTGCGCCAGTGGATTGATTGTTACGAGTGTGTGTTGTGAGTGTGTGTTACGAGCGTGTGAGCAGAGTGTTCGTTACGAGCGAGTGTGTAATGAGCATGTGTGGTGAGAGACGCGAATAAGAACCCCCCCGCCCCGCCCCGCTGTGTTTGTCTAACAGCAAGGATGGTGACACGACTGTGAGGCCGCATCTGTACCCCGTGGTGGTGCTGGGAGTGAAGGACAGACTCGGCAATGGCAGTGACTCCGTGACCCGGGTGACCTCCGCTGCTGATGCAGCAGGTAACTGCGCTCAAGTCCTTGTGAACCACAGCAAGCGTGCTCCTCTGGGCAGCGCGGCAGTGGAGGCCGACCCCGGTTTGAAATTCGAACGTGTCTGAAAAATAAAGGCCGATGAGCAAAGCCGCCCGGAATGCCGTCGGTTCTCGGCCGTCTGATTTGGCATCGGTTTGTGTTTTGTGCACCATTTTGGATTTCATCTGCAATGCGGTTGTTGTTTTTCTCGCTCCCAGATTTCTGTTCGGCTGCCGCTGTTGTTTTCGTCGTTGTCGTTGCTCCGGTTGCGGTTTGCGTCGTCGCTCTACTCGCTTCGATGCTATCGCTCGAGTCTAGTTTTATTTTACCAGGCCTAAGGCCCTCTGAGCTATGTAGCTCCTTATTCAGAAGTGACCTGGCCATAAATGATGGCTCAACAAAGTGGCTTATCTCGTGGAAATTTATAGCAGCCAAATACCCTAAACGTGTGTTGTTGATTCTAAATGTGGAGGGAAAAACCGGAGGGCCAAATATACAGCAGCAGGCCTCATGGTCGGGGTCCAACCCACGCCCTCCTGCATACCAGGTGAGGTAGTTAACATCTCGCTCTTGCAAACGAGATTTCCCCCCCCCCCCACTCTCTCCTGAGCCACGTGACTTCTCGCCTGCTGCAACAAAAATAAAGCTGACGAAACTCCTGACGCCCGTGCGTGCTTCTTCCCCCCACCCCACCCACCCCCCCCCTCCCCCCGGCGCGTCGTGACGCCCGCTGGTGCGCGCAGACGACGACGCCCTGGACGCCGCCGCCGCCAACGTGGAGAAGGTGTCGGAGTTTTGCCGCAAGGTGATTTTCAAGCGGGGCGGCAGGGACGTAACGGCGGGCAGCCTCCTGCTCTCTCCCGGCACGCCCACGGAGCCGCCCTCCGCCAACGTCACCGCCCATCGCTCGGCGGTGAGAGGAACGCCCGCCCCTTGCCCCTTGCCCCTTGCCCCACGTTGCGGCCTAGCGCGAGGCGTCAATCCCTGCGCACCTGCAGCCGCGTCGGTTGCTGCTGCGCCCTCCGTGTGTGTGTGTGTACGTTGAATTTCTTTCGCGCCATACGTAGCCAACCGCGCTCATCGGAGGTGCGGGGGGGGGTAGAAGGACAACAAACTAAGCACAAAAAGCAGTGCACAGCTCCCAATGGCTTCCTCATATTGGAAGAGACCCACAAAAATCCTCATATAGAACCATAGACAACCCAGAGAGCCCATAGAGAACTAACAGAAACCCATAGAGACCCACACTCATGTGTATGTACGTATCGAACCGTAGAGAACCCACCAAGACCCATAGACACCCACACTCATGTGTATGTACGTGAAGTATTGGAAATGACGGCAGGAACTTCTTGACGGGTAACACACTTTTATTAAATCTTGACGTGTCACAATACAACGTGTGGTCTCTATTCTTTTGACTATACACTCCACTTAACTCGTGTAGACTCTATGCCTCTGGCTACACACAATGCACTTGACTCGTGTAGACCCTATGCCTCTGGCTACACACAATGCACTTGACTCGTGTAGACCCTATGCCTCTGGCTACACACCATGCATTCGACTCGTGTAGACCCTATGCCTATGGCTACACACAATGCATTCGCCTCTGGGTTACACAGAGTCCCGGTCCCGTTAGGACAGCGGGACTAGGTACCACAGGGCCCTATCTCTTCGATCCCCGTCTTCATTCTTCGCTGGTTACATACTGCCCTTACGCCTGTGTGCATCCCCTTTTATAGCCCCTGCTCACGGGAGATGGAGCTGATGCGGACGTCGACGTGAGCATCGCTCCTTAGTTAACCAATGACGACGCGCTATCTCTACGATCCGTTTTCCCCAGCGCGTGTTAACACTACTCAACCAATCACACCGCGCTGCCACCCGGTCACTCCCTCTCCGCGCGTCACCGGCACACAGCCAATCAGCACCACGTAACCCACGACCCCGCGCTGACCCCTGATCCTCCACCGTCAGCGCGCGTCACCACATACACAGCCAATCACTACGCGCTGGTACACGATCCCTACCCCAGCGCGTATCACCACTACATACGTATCGAACCGTAGAGAACCCACAGAGACCCATAGAGACCCACACTCGTGTGCATGTACGTATCGAACTGTAGAGAACTAACAGAGACCCATAGAGACCCACACTCGTGTGCATGTACGTAGGCATCTGGCTGAACTTCTTTCGCGCCGTGCGTAGCCGACCGTGCTCATCGGAGGTGCGGGGGGAAGAACAATGGCGGCAGTGCGGTCAGGGGCTCGGTGTCGATGTCGAGGAGGGCTGCTGCTGCTGTCGTGACGAGAGCGCTTCAGCAGAGAGAGAGTTTGTGCGGCCCTCCCCCCTGCCTCCGCCTCCGTTGAAGGAGTGTAGATAACAGCGGTGTTTACTGTGTGGTTCTGTAGGGTTGGTGCATGGCCACAATCCCACTACTGTGGCTCGTCTTTAAAGTATCTCTGTGAATGTGTCTCTGAGTCTCTGTGTGTCTCAATTGGTTGACTATACGGTCCATGGTTTGCATTGCATGGCCACAATTGCGTTACTGTGGCTTGTGATTAACGTATCTATGTGTTTCTGTGTCTCCGTGAGTATCTATGTATCTCTATAGGTCTCTGTGTCTCTCTGTGTCTCTCTGTGTCTCAATGGGTTTACTAGACATAGCCAAGCGTGCTAATCGGAGGTGCGGGATCGGTTTCTCCGTGTGTCCGTGTCGAGACGAGGTCGTGGGCCGTGCCGAGTCGAGGTCACCGCAGTATGTTAATGCGCTCGCTCGCTCGCTCGCTCTCCCAGTTGCGCCCGTCTCTCGACGGCGCTGACAAACAGTTCTGGGCGGTCTGCAACAACTGTGGCAAGAAGAGCGAGAACCTCACGACCTGCGACTCGTGCCACAAGCTGATCCCCGACACGGCGCGCAAGCGCCTCAAGGAAGCGGCCGAGGGCGGCGGCGGAACCGGCGCCGCCACCAGTGCCGGCGGGACGGGGAGCGGCACGTCCAGCAACTACCAGCACCTGACGGCGATCGGCAAGAGGTCGCCGCTGCTGCTGACGCTGAGCCTGCGGGCGCAGAATGCGTACAGGTCGCCGGAGGAGCGCCTGCAGGCCGTAGAGGTGGGTGGACAACCTCCCCTCGCCCTTGGGAACCAGAGTCGCCCCGTTGTGAGCCGACGTTGCGGCGATTTCGGGAGAATGTGGCCGGCTTGCTCGTGCGGTCGTGACCGCGGTTGGGGTGTTGTTGTGACTGTGGTTGTGGTGTAGTTGTGACTGTGGTTGTGGTGTAGTTGTGACTGTGGTTGTGGTGTAGTTGTGACTGTGGTTGTGGTCGTGACTGTGGTTGTGGTGTAGTTGTGAGTGGTTGCACTGTGGTTGTGACTGTGGTTGTGGTGTAGTTGTGACTGTGGTGTAGTTGTGAGTGGTTGCACTGTAGTTGTGACTGTGGTTGTGGTGTAGTTGTGAGTGGTTGCCCTGTGGTCGCGACTGTGGTTGTGGTGGAGTTGTGAGTGGTTGCACTGTAGTTGTGACTGTGGTTGTGGTGTAGTTGTGGCTGGTTGCACTGTAGATGTGACTGTGGTTGTGGTGTAGTTGTGACTGGTTGCCCTGTGGTCGCGACTGTGGTTGTGGTGTGGTCGCGACTATGGTTGTGGTGTAGTTGTGAGTGGTTGCCTTGTGGTTGTGACTGTGGTTGTGGTGTAGTTGTAAGTGGTTGCCCGTGATCGCGGCTGTGGTTGCGTGTGCGGTCTTAACCGTGGTTGCGCGCGTGCAGTCGGAACTGGTTGCGCGCGCGCTTCCGAATTGGCCGCTCACGAATTGGCCGCTCGCTAACGGCACTCGCCCCGCCGCGTCCTGCAAAAGCTACGAGGGAGGTATCTTTGTCTCTGCTTGCGAGTGCAGTCGGCTGCCTTGAGGCTGAGATCGAACGACTTCAGCGGAGTGTCGCCGCTGGGCAGACCCGACCACGTCAAACTCGCGCGCAGCGGCAGCAGCACCGTCCCTCGCGCGTCCGTGCGGGGCAGGGGGAGGGGGAGGGGTCGTGGGGCACGGAAGCCTCAGCTGCCCACGGAGCCGAGTGAGTGACCTCTGGACGAGCCGCACGACCTCCGGGCCTGGTAGTCGAGTCGTCAGCGACGTGTTTACAATCACGGGGTGGAAACCCCCGGTGAGCCGGACTCCGGATGGCCGGGGCTTGTCAACAAAAACAACACCCGTCTGTGAAATAAAGTCGACTGTAGATTATCCGCGTGCGGATTGTCCAATTTTCAGATAAGCTGCGCGCACCTGAGATTTTGACGTAGATTAATAACTCATGGATTTTCCCTGAAGCCGAAATTCACGTTCAAAAATCATTTCTACATTGTTATTCTTGGAAATGTTCATTACTAGTCACGTGTTTCGATTTAAAGCTTTCGTGACTGCAGGGATTCATCTTCTTGGTTCTTTCGGTAAAGTCACGTAGAAGGGAAGTAATAAAATAATAAAAATAAAACATAATAAAATTATTCTCACGACGTTTCGGCCACAACGCAAGCTGCCGTCCTCAGGTGAAAACCAGGTCCGTCGAGGCGACAGAGTCTGAATGAAACAGCACACGAGCTTGGAGCATATATATAAGCTGGGCGCCTTGACAAAATAATTTGCATATAAAGAGGAATTTAGCATATTTATGGGAAATGCAGGAATGTGATTAGTACTACATATGCATGTGCATTATGCAGGATTAACAGCATCAAAGGGAGCTGCAGTTGCTGCTGCTGCTGCAGTTGCTGCTGCTGCTGCTGCAGTTGCTGCTGCTGCTGCAGTTGCAGCTGCTACTGCAGTTGCTGATGCTGCTGCAGTTGCTGCTGCTGCAGTTGCTGCTGCTGCTGCAGTTGCTGCTGCTGCTGCAGTTGGTAAAACAATAAAATCAAATAAATGGAAACAACTAAATTAAATCACGACGTTTCGGAGGCAACACAAGCCTCCCTCATCAGGTGTAAAAAGGCACGGTAAAATAACTGTAGCCAGACTTATTTGTGATGAGACATTTAGTTGTTTTCATTTATTTTATTAATTGTTTTACCTACGTGACTTGACCGAAAAAACCAAAGAGTACGATTCCTGCAGTCACGAAAGCTTCAAATCTAGAAGGAAAGTTGTCATCACTGAGTCACGCGCGCATCCATCGGTCGATCGTTAGTTTTTGGACTAGAGATCCGCGGAAAATTTATCTTTATAGATTAAACGCGATTTTTAATTATCCGCGGTCGTCCTTCCCTTCATTAGCGCGGATAATCGAGAGTTTACTGTACTCGAAATGCAAAAACAACAGCAGAAGTAATATAACATGGGACCTTTTTTGCCAGAATCAAGTATGAAAAAAAAATTAACCCGTAAAAACAAAGTTTTTCACTATAAATCCTTTATATGTGTGGCGGCTAGAGTCCTCTCGTCCTCTGGCTTGAGATGGCTGCCACCTATGGGTCAGATGATTGCCTGCCTCCATTAAGCAATTGGTAATTAAATATAATTTATTTTCCTAAAAATTGTAAAGTTATGGAAAAAAATTTTCACGAAAAAAAATTGTCACGCACAACGAGTCTGTGTGCAAAATGTCAGCTCGATTGGATCACGAGAAGTGGGTTAAAAAACGACCGAAAGATTTGCACGGTCGTAAGCGCGCAAGCACGCAAGCAAGTGAACTTAATATAAAGGATTTAATAAGAATAGGTTTCACCCTTTGTGGCAAGAAAACAATCGGTGCTAAGATTCAATTTCATTTATTGGCGACAGCCCTGTGAGCCGTGTGGATCTTGACTCGGGGGCAACCGCAACAAAAAAAACACGAACATGTTCAATCGCCAAACAGCAACCCCTTTAGCAAGGAATAAAGTCTGCATTAACCGCACGTGCTTGTGGCGGATATGCAAACAAAGCATGTTCCGATAATTAAAAATGCATTGCCTCTCCTTGATGAAGCTTTTTATTTGGTGTTTGAACATCCTAACACCTGTATATTTTCCACAAAGAGTAAAACCTAATCTTTTGTTTCTCAAGTCATAAAATAATTACAGACTATTTGCCTTGCAATATGTTACGTAATATAATATGTAAGGATAAGAGGTTTTTTTACCGATAGATCACGTAAATATATAAATGTGGCGTTAAAACCCACCACCACCTGACACAGCCAACTAGTAAGGGTTGTCACGTAAACAGAACGTGGCCAATTCGTCACTAGTACAGCACTAGTGTATAGTGTAGTGTAGAGTGTAGTGTATAATAGTGTAGTATATAGTGTAGTATACTAGTACAGCACTAGTGTATAGTGTAGTGTATAGTAGTGTAGTATATAGTGTAGTATACTAGTACATCACACCGGTGTGTTGGAGAGCAAAGCCACAACATTTACAATCTGAGTGTGATGTTTCGCCAGTAATTACAACCAGCTTCATCAGGCGACAGCCAGGTTTGTGGAGAAGTCCATCTGTTTCGTTCCTTATGTAGCGCGCAGATGTGGTGACCACGCTTCTGCGCTCTTACGCAAAGTGGTGGGGGGGGAGGATTACTGAGTCAACGTACATTATGCATGCGCATTATGCGAGCCCTTTGATCTTGTCCTTCCTTTCCATTGTATGTATTTAAATAGCTGTACCAACGGTAATTCCTATTGAAGTATGGTGCCGTGTATAGGCGTGCATTTAAACAATGTATTATTTGACGATTTGCTTCCACGCAGCACTAAGTCAGTCGCTATCCGAACGGTAAAATTTTGTTTAATTTCTTTAGTCGCTAGTGTTGCACAGAATTTCAACATTATCAAAATCAATTGAGTGTCCTTGTTGGCACGCGTGTTCTGCTACTGCTGACAGTTGCATTTGGGAGTTTCATATTTCTCTGATGTTCTATTAGTCTCATGCTGATCATTCGGCTCTCCAACACACCGGTGTGCTGTACTAGTGACGAATTGGCACGTTCTGTTTACGTGACAACCCTTACTCGTTGGCTGTCGGGTGGTGGCGGATTTTAACGACACATTTATACATTTACGCTATCCAACCCCAACAAAAAACCTCTTATGGATGACATTGGTTTGCGAAAGTCTACGTGTTACACTAATATATAAGCACAATAATAGTTTCTCCCTCCCACGATCCCTCCCCTCCAGTCGTGCTGTCGAGTGACGATGAGGACGAGGAGAACGAGACTCGGAGCTCCGGCTGCACCACCCCGACCTCGACGCCGCTGTTGGTGTCTGAGCTCGACACGGGCTGGTGTGCCACCCCCACCAGCACCGCCAGCGCCGCCAGCACCGCCAGGGCCGCCAACTCCTCAGCCTGCGCTTCCCCCATCGCCACGTCCATCACCAGCGGCACGCCCAGGGGGACCACGAGTCCCGTGGCCGGCCGCCGCAGCATCAGAGGTGAGCAGTGGCAGTCAACGGTGGCTAGGAGATGTTAACTACCTCGCCAGGTACGCAGGAGGTTGTGGGTTCGATCCCAATCCTGACGCCTGCTGCTGTATATTTGGAGTTTGCGTGTCTCTCTCTCTCATCATCATCACGGTGGCTAGGAGATGTTCACTACCTCGCCAGGTACGCAGGAGGTTGTGGGTTCGATCCCGACCCTGACGCCTGCTGCTGTATATTTGGAGTTTGCGTGCCTCTCCCATTATCATCATCATCACGGTGGCTATGAGATGTTAACTACCTCGCCACGTATGCAGGAGGTTGTGGGTTCGATCCCGACCCTGACGCCTGCTGCTGTATATTTGGAGTTTGCGTGCCTCTCCCATTATCATCATCATCACGGTGGCTATGAGATGTTAACTACCTCGCCACGTACGCAGGAGGTTGTGGGTTCGATCCCGACCCTGACGCCTGCTGCTGTATATTTGGAGTTTGCGTGCCTCTCCCATTATCATCATCATCACGGTGGCTATGAGATGTTAACTACCTCGCCAGGTATACAGGAGGTCGTGGGTTCGATCCCGACCCCGACGCCTGCTGTTGTATATTTGGAGTTTGCGTGTCTCTCTCCCCGTGGTCTCGTGGATTTTTCTCCGGGTCCTCCGGTTTTTCCCACCACATTTAGAATCGACTTCACGCGTTTACAGTATTTGGCTACTATAAATTTCAACGTGAAAAGCCACTTCGTCGAGCTATCATTTGTGGCCAGGTCACTTCTGAAAAAAAACTACGTTAGTTAACGGGGTTGTCCTGTGGATAAGACTTTGCCCTCGCCATGGGAATGAGGACTTTCCACCGCTGGCTCAGCAGGGTGGTAAACAAGAGGTGACCACCAATGCCTCAAAGTACTCGCATAGCTGTTACTCGTATTCTTGTGCAGGGAAATTGCGTTCTCAGGTCCATACAGCATACAGCTGTTTCAATACGGGCAAAAAAAACATTTTTTTGTGTTTTAGTTTCTCCCTTGTGATGGGACTTGGAGATCTATAAGGGCACGGGGTCACCAATCGGGTCTAATTTGGTCTGTAATAAGGTAGGCACTGATACGGGGTTGACAGGTATGTACTCGTGAGCAGCAGGAAATCATTCTGACGTCCACCGCAGTTTCCAGTTTGCTCTGGCGTGCCGTGGTGGTGGGGAGAGTTTATCTCTCTTGCCTGCTGCGCAGGAATTCGTGGGTTCAATCCGAAGCCCTGACGAGGCCTCTTCTTATATGTTTGGAGTCCGCTTTGTTCTCTCGCTCTCTCTCTCTCTCCAGGGGTGGTCTTGTGGATCGTTCTGCCGGTTCCTACGGTGTTTTCCCTCCTCCAAATTGAGAATCGACTCGAGTCTAGATTAGTTGGCTCCCACGCTGTGATTGTGATATCGGCCACTTTGCTGAGCTATTATCATGTGTGGCCAGATCGCCTCTGAAAAAATAGCGAATCCCTCGGTGGGCTCGAGCTCGTGGATAATAGAATCATCGAGTAAAGTAGAGCAGCAGACCACGAGGTTGTCATCGAGCTCCTGAGCACACCTTGTCATCATACGCAAGAGCAGATATGTCGAACGAAAAATTGACAATAAAAACAAATACACGTCCCGCAACAACAGTCCACACAAAACGACTATTTGCAAAAACAAGCCCGTGATAAATTATTAAAGGATGTGGAAAGTAACTCGCGTCCGACAGACCGTCCTTCCGTCTGTCCGACTCTCCGTCCGTCCTACCGGCCGATGGACCATCTGTCCAACCGACAGATGGTCCATCAGCCGTCCGTCCGTCCGACCGACCAACCGTCCGTCCGTCGGACCATCCATCCGTCCGTCCGTCCGTCGGACCATCCATCCGTCCGACCGACTGGCTGGGCATCTGTCGGACTGTCCGTCCGACCGGCCAACCGTCCATCGGACCGTCTGTCGGACCATCCATCTGTCCGACCGTCCGGCCATCCGTCGGACTGTCCGTCCATCAGACCGACCGTCTGACCGTCCGTCCGTCCCTGTCCCCGTAGAGCCGAGCGACCGTCGCGAGACCTCGTCGCCCGTCTCGGGCCCGTGCTCGGGCCCGTGCTCGGCCGACGAGCGTCCCGCGCTGCTGAGCGACGACGCGACGTCGGTGGACGAACGGCCCGCGGCCGGCGACCAGCCCGCGGGAGGAGACGACGACTACGGAGACTTTGGGAGCCTCTTCCAGATGTCGACGAAATCCACCATGAGCATCAAGGCCAGGATGAAGAACAAGGTGGGGGAGCTCGCCCCGCTGGGCCTGCGAGGGCCTGGCTCGCTGGAATGTATAAATATATACGAGTAGACATTCACCACTTTTCCCGTTCACCGCTGAATCTCGGAACGCGCCAGCGGCTCGCAGTCAACTTTTGTTCGGGGAGTCGTCGTAGCGTCGTCGTTTTTAAAGATGTTGCTGCTCACCACACAGAACCGTAGCGGCACGACCGCCGCCACTCTACGATAGCTGGCGCCAAACTGTGCCACACGCCCTTCCCGAATGGCCTTGCGGGATCCTTAGTACCGATAAAGTTATTTTATCTTGATAATTGGTTTTTTACCCTTTTATCTGGTAACAAAACTGACACATTTTTTTTTACAAGGAGTCATTTTTGGTTTAAAGCTTTCGTGACTGCAGGGATTCATCTTCTTGGTTCTTTCGGTAAAGTCACGTAGAAGGGAAGTAATAAAATAATAAAAATAAAACATAACAAAATAATTCTCACGACGTTTCGGCCACAACGCAAGCAGCCGTCCTCAGGTGAAGAACAGGGCTGTTGAGAAGGCTGCCACAGAGGGTTTAGCAACCCCGGCGACGGTCGCGCCAGTCGCTCGTCGTGGTCGCGCCGCCGCCGCTGCTGCTGCCACCGCTGTGTAGCTCTCCGGCGTGTCTCTGGTTGTCGCGCGATTTCCGACGTTTTGCCCCCCCCCTTCCCCCCACCCCGTTCCCCCCACCCCCCCTCCCCCCTTACACGGTGCCGGCAGCTTCTTCAGGGAACGGAAATGGAAGCTCCCCCACCTTGGTAGCTGGCCGCTCGCTAACAGCACGGTTGGCTACGCACGGTGCGAAAGAAGTTCAGCGTGCGTGCGTGCAGCAGTCTGTTAGAGGGATGCGGTGTGGTGAGGAGGCGTCTCCTTTTCTTTGCTTGTGCGTGCGACCTCGCAGTTTGGTCAAAGCCCGGTGCCGGTGAAGCGGCCGCGCATCGCGGTGGGGAGGAGGGGGTCCTGCGGCGGCAGCAGCGGCGCCGGCACGGCCGCCAGGCCGGCGGCGACGGCCGCCCCCAGCAGCCTGGCGGGGCTCGACGAGTCGGCCGCCATCAGCCTGGTGTGCCGCATGTTCCGTGTGGGGACGCTCAAGATCAGGGAGCCGTGTCTCGCCGTGGTAACAACGCACGCGGCTTCACACACCCTGCCACCGCAACCACAGCCACCGCCAACAGTACCGCAGCCACCACCGCCGGCACCGCCGCCACCGCCACCACAGCCACCACAGCCACCGCTACGACATCCACTGCTACGACAGCCACCGCTACCACAGCTACCGCCAACAGCACCGCAGCCACCACCGCCGGCACTGCCACCGCCACCACATCCACCGCTGCCACCGCTACCACATCCACCGCTACCACATCCACCGTCACAACCACAGCAGGCACCACCGCCGGCACCGCCACAACTGCCACCACAAACACCACCACAGCCACCACCACCGCAGGCACCACCGCCGGCGCCACCACCACCGCCGGCGCCACCACCACCGCCACCCCAGCCACCACGGAACAGAGGGCTTCGCTCGTACGCAGACTTGACGACGGCGGGGGGGGAAGGGGAAATCTCTGCTCTGCCATTTGTTTACCCCGGGAATGTCTCGCTGAGCTGCTTGAGACTCGTTGGGTCAGGGAGGGTCTTGCATTGGGACCTTTGGGCAATTTTTTTTCTTTCGTTGACATTGTTCATTGTTTTTCTTTTCGCATTTTTCTTGGCCGTGTCTCCGATGCGTTCTCTTCCTCCGCACGGATCACTCTGATGCCTGTTCCTCTGCACCACGGATCTGCCTTGCAAACCTAGCTGGGTAACGGGCTACACGGGGCTTTCCGTGTAACAAATACATCTTGATTTGATTGAATGATTTTGCATTTGGGAGGAGAAAACCCTGCGCACGAGGAAACAGCAGCATCCAAATTATGTGTATGTGTTTAAATAATTTTTTTACTTTGTTTATCTTTCAGTTTTCGGAGGACGGATTGCGGTTTGAAGGTGAGTCGCACGCTCGCCAGCGGGAAGAGACGATCGCAAGGCGACATTCACACCGATACCAATACAAATAAGTATTATCACTACTACTGTCCACCCAGGAAAGTCTCCACAAGTCTCAATCAAGATTCTGGAGGGTCCTGCAACGTTGTCACAGTGGGGGGGGGGGGGGCAATGCTGCTGCTGCTGCGTGATCCCCATTGAGTGACTTGCAGGCAATTGTTCGAAGACATTCGGGATGTTTTGAGGCATCGCCGGTTACATTTTTAGCCGGACAAACCCCGTGCAGAACAGGGGGAGGATGTACAAAACTACACGCGGGAAGGCGCCCGGTTCGGGAATCAACCCCAGGCACTTGTACAGAATAGCTGTAAGCATAGCTGCCCCCTGGGGTGCCCGAGGCTAGACCACATGGCAATCATCGCCCCCAATACCGGCAGACTTATGCCCGGTTGCAGGCCAGGCGCTGGTTTACCTTGTGCCACTCATTACACAAATAAAGCGCAACACCTCGCTCATCTTGTCAAGGAGCATGAACCATCACGCAAACTCCGGTCGTCTTTGCAGCGGCTTTTGGCGAGCCATCGAACAAAGGCGCTCGCCGCATCGCGCTTTTTCCAAAAGCTTCTGAGGACATCTGGAACTCTCTCTTCCTTCCGATATTAGGTGGCCACTGGAGCCACGCACTTTTACATCTAGATTGAAAACTCATTTCTTTAGAACGGCTTATTCGAGTTTAGTTTGATGTCCCCCCGCCCCGCACCTCCGATTAGCACAGTTGGCTACGTACGGTGTGAAAGAAGTTCAACAAAAACAAAGATTGCCCGTATAGTCACGACAGACTGTTGGGGCATGTGCTGTTAGCAAACACCTGTGAAGGTCAGAACGGGGCACAAGGGGGTGAGTGACCAACACCATACCCGGCCGCCTTTGTCTCCCCAGTGCCGATGTTTTTACACACCGCACCAGGTACTCATTTGAGGATGAGTAGACCTAGTGGAGGCACAGGCCCGGTTCAGATAATCGTCACCGGTGTTGGCCGTGAGCAGGAATCGATCTCGGGTTGCCGGGTTCGTAGCGCAGTGCGTTAACCCCTACACTGCCGCTCCGCACACACACTGACACACACACTGACGACGCACACTGACACGCACACTGACACGCACACTGACACGCACACACACTGACACGCACGCGCACTGACGCGCGCACTGACGCGCGCACTGACGCGCGCACTGACGCGCGCACTGACGCGCGCACTGACGCACGCACTGACACGCACTGACACACACACTGACACACACACTGACACACACACACACACTGACACGCACACACTGACACGCACACTGACACGCACACTGACACGCACACTGACACACACACTGACACACACACTGACACACACACACACTGACACACACACACACACACTGACACACACACACACTGACACACACACTGACACGCACACTGACACGCACACTGACACGCACACTGACACACTGACACGCTGACACACATGGTTCTCGTTCCACAGACATGAAGGCGGAGGCCCTGACGTTGGCCGCCAGGGAGCTCACGTCGTTTGAGATGGCATTCAGCCGCACGTGCTCCATGCTCTTCATCCAGACCACATCCATCGCCGCGCAACGCTTCTGCCACCAGCTGAACATGAGCCGCGACAAGCAGGAATGGTTCAACCCGACAGGCAACGGTGAGTGAAGGCGGAGACGTGTGTGTGTGGAGCCCGGTGAGCAGTGGGTCAGCGGTTAGCACCCTGCACTTTGTAGCTGGTGACCCGAGTTTGATTCCCATTCACGAGTAACACCTTCGACAAATGATAGTCCCGGGCCTCCCCAAGGTCGACTCAACCTTAAATGAGTACCCGGCGCGATATGTGAACGTTGCCACTGGCCCGGCGTGACGCTGACCCACCCAACCCGCGCCGGCCTTGCCAAGTGCCGGTACTCGCTAACAGCGCTCGTCCCAACAGTCCGTGACGGGTTTACGGATTGTCGTGGTGGTGGTGATGATGGTGGTGGGGGGTCTGTGTCTGTGTCTTTGTAGACCCCAAGGAGATGTACATCATCCTGGTGCTGGACAGCTACCCCGAGTATCCGGCCCAGAAGGAGCTGAAAACCCTCATGGAAGCCGTCGGATGCCGCAACAGCATCCGGGGATTCTGCCGGCAGATCAAGACCCTCGAGGCCAACCAGAGGCTCATCCTGAGCACCGCCGGCACCGCCGGCACCGCCGGCACCGCCGAGCCGGCGGGCGCCGCGGCGGCCGACGAGGCCCTCGCCTCCTCGTCGTCCGCCGAGGACGGAGCCCCGTCGCCCGCCGCTGGTCGCAAGGTGCGGGGGGGGGGGGCCTGCGGAGCGAGAGCGGGGTTTGGGCGACGCTGTGCCCACTCACCTCCCCCCCACCCACCCCTCCCTACCTTCCTCCAACGGCCACAGTACCCTGTGCCAGGCTAGGTGCACTGCCTTAGGTCAACATTCCCTGTGCCCCCCACCCCCTCTTTTACCGAGTGCCTGGCGCAGCATGTAAAATCGGTCCTGGGCCTCCCCTAGGTCGACTCGGCTTCAAATGAGCAGCTGGCGCGGCGATGCAAAACGTCGTCATTGGGGAGACAAAGGCGGCCGCGGCCCGGGCGCGGCGCCGATCAACCCCACCCCCTCGTGTGCCGTTGCCGGCATTTTCACCGGCGCTCGCCAATGGCACTTTTGCCCCCCCTCCCCCGGGGGGGGGATCTTTCTCCGTCTCTTTTGCCGCGTACGCAGGCGCCCGCCTGCACGCTCCCGTCGTACCAGCTGCGCACCACGCGGAGGATCGCCGTCAGCACGAGCAGCGCGAGCAGCGCGAGCGCCTCTCCGACCGGCGCCGACGGCTTCTCGGTGACCGTGGAGAAGTCAGTTTCACCGCCGAGCACGGCCGCACGCGACCCGACACAGAACGACGAACGCCGACGGTGCATCGCCACCGCCAACATCATCGCCACCAGGGCCGGCCCTAGGAGGGGGTGTTTTGGGCCTGGGGAAAATCACACCGTGTGGGTCCCCCGCCCCCATCTCCCCCGAGGGACTCCTTCAAACTAAACCGCAATTATTCCGTCCGACACCGCACCGCCACCAGTGCGGTGCCGCACCGCCACCAGTGCGGTGCCGCACCGCCGATTGCGACGGTTGGCAACGTGCGGTGTGAGAGAAGTTCAACGTACGTACTTACAAACACCGCGATGGCACTAACACGGAGGCACGTGCGTCGCCCCGCGTGCTCTACCCCGCCCCGTTTGCTCTCCAGGCTCGTGGTGTTCCCTCCGCCACCCGCCAAGGGCGCCATCAGTGTGACGAGCGAGGACCTCTCCTGCCTCAACCCGGGAGAGTTCCTCAACGACGTCATCATCGATTTCTATCTCAAGTGAGTGGCACGGCAGCGGCAGAAGCTGCAGAAGTAGCTGTAGAAGCAGCAGTAGCAGTAGTAGCAGCAGCAGTAGTAGCAGCAGCAGTAGCAGCAGTAGTAGCAGCAGTAGTAGCAGCAGTCGCAGAAGCTGCAGCGGCAGCGGATGTAGTAGAAGCTGCAGCTGCGGCAGTAAAAGTAGCAGCAGCAGTAGTAGCAGCAGTCGCAGAAGCTGCAGGGGCAGCGGATGTAGTAGAAGCTGCAGCAGCGGCAGTAAAAGTAGCAGCAGCAGCAGAAGAAGTGTCGGCAGAAGCGGCAGCAGAACCAGCAGCGGCGGAGTGAGCGTCAAGACCTCGGCCTATGCAGGAGGGCCGGCAGCTCAGGGGCCACAGCGCCGAGATCGCGGGCGATGAACCACCCGGGTTCCACGGGCAGTGCAGCGTTGATGGTCTCTGCTGTGTGTGTGTGTGCTGTGTGTGTGTGGCGTGCGTCACGTTTGTGGTGCTGCGTGTGCTGTGTGTGTGTGTGTGCTGTGTGTGTGTGGCGTGCGTCACGTTTGTGGTGCTGCGTGTGCTGTGTGTGTGTGTGTGGCGTGCGTCACGTGTGTCGTACTGCGTGTGCTGTGTGTGTGTGTGTGCTGTGTGTGTGTGTGTGGCGTGCGTCACGTTTGTGGTGCTGCGTGTGCTGTGTGTGTGTGTGTGCTGTGTGTGTGTGGCGTGCATCACGTTTGTGGTGCTGCGTGTGCTGTGTGTGTGTGTGTGTGCTGTGTGTGTGTGGCGTGCGTCACGTTTGTGGTGCTGCGTGTGCTGTGTGTGTGTGTGTGCTGTGTGTGTGTGGCGTGCGTCACGTTTGTGGTGCTGCGTGTGCTGTGTGTGTGTGTGTGTGCTGTGTGTGTGTGGCGTGCGTCACGTTTGTGGTGCTGCGTGTGCTGTGTGTGTGTGTGTGCTGTGTGTGTGTGGCGTGCGTCACGTTTGTCGTGCTGCGTGTGCTGTGTGTGTGTGTGTGTGCTGTGTGTGTGTGGCGTGCGTCACGTTTGTGGTGCTGCGTGTGCTGTGTGTGTGTGTGTGCTGTGTGTGTGTGGCGTGCGTCACGTTTGTGGTGCTGCGTGTGCTGTGTGTGTGTGTGTGTGTGCTGTGTGTGTGTGTGCTGCGTGTGCTGTGTGTGCTGTGTGTGTGTGGCGTGTGTCACGTTTGTGGTGCTGCGTGTGCTGTGTGTGTGTGGCGTGTGTCACGTTTGTCGTGCTGCGTGTGCTGTGTGTGTGTGCTGTGTGTGTGTGCGGCGTGCGTCACGTTTGTGGTGCTGCGTGTGCTGTGTGTGTGTGGCGTGTGTCACGTTTGTCGTGCTGCGTGTGCTGTGTGTGTGTGTGTGCTGTGTGTGTGTGTGTGTGCTGCGTGTGCTGTGTGTGCTGTGTGTGTATGCTGTGTGTGTGTGTGTGCGGCGTGCGTCACGTTTGTCGTGCTGCGTGTGCTGTGTGTGTGTGGCGTGCGTCACGTTTGTCGTGCTGTGTGTGCTGTGTGTGTGTGTGTGCTGTGTGTGTGTGTGCTGTGTGTGCTGTGTGTGCTGTGTGTGTGGCATGTGTCACGTTTGTCGTGCTGTGTGTGCTGTGTGTGTGTGGCGTGCGTCACGTTTGGCGTGCTGCGTGTGCTGTGTGTGTGTGTTCTGTGTGTGTGTGCTGCGTGTGCTGTGTGTGTGTGTGTGCTGTGTGTGTGTGTGCTGTGTGTGTGGCGTGTGTCACGTTTGTCGTGCTGTGTGTGCTGTGTGTGTGGCGTGCGTCACGTTTGGCGTGCTGCGTGTGCTGTGTGTGTGTGTGTGGCGTGCGTCACGTTTGGCGTGCTGCGTGTGCTGTGTGTGTGTGTGTGGCGTGCTGCGTGTGCTGTGTGTGCTGTGTGTGTGTGTGGCGTGCGTCACGTTTGTTGTGCTGTGTGTGCTGTGTGTGTGTGGCGTGCGTCACGTTTGTTGTGCTGCGTGTGCTGTGTGTGTGTGGCGTGCGTCACGTGTGTCGTGCTGTGTGTGCTGTGTGTGTGTGGCGTGCGTCACGTTTGTTGTGCTGCGTGTGCTGTGTGTGTGTGGCGTGCGTCACGTGTGTCGTGCTGCGTGTGCTGTGTGTGTGTGTGGCGTGCGTCACGTTTGTTGTGCTGCGTGTGATGTGTGTGTGGCGTGCGTCACGTGTGTCTTGCTGTGTGTGCTGTGTGTGTGTGGCGTGCGTCACGTTTGGCGTGCTGCGTGTGCTGCGTGTGTGTGTGCTGTGTGTGTGTGTGGCGTGCGTCACGTTTGTTGTGCTGCGTGTGCTGTGTGTGTGTGGCGTGCGTCACGTGTGTCGTGCTGCGTGTGCTGTGTGTGTGTGTGGCGTGCGTCACGTTTGTCGTGCTGTGTGTGCTGTGTGTGTGTGCTGTGTGTGCTGTGTGTGCTGTGTGTGTGTGCGGCGTGCGTCACGTTTGTTGTGCTGTGTGTGTGTGTGTGTGCTGTGTGTGTGTGCTGTGTGTGTGTGTGTGTGCTGTGTGTGCGGCGTGTGTCACGTTTGTTGTGCTGTGTGTGTGTGTGCTGTGTGTGTGGCGTGCGTCACGTTTGGCGTGCTGCGTGTGCTGTGTGTGTGTGTGTGCTGTGTGTGTGTGGCGTGCGTCACGTGTGTCGTGCTGCGTGTGCTGTGTGTGTGTGGCGTGTGTCACGTGTGTCGTGCTGTGTGTGCTGTGTGTGTGTGGCGTGCGTCACGTGTGTCGTGCTGTGTGTGCTGTGTGTGTGTGGCGTGTGTCACGTGTGTCGTGCTGTGTGTGTGTGGCGTGCGTCACGTGTGCCGTGCTGCGTGTGCTGTGTGTGTGGCGTGCGTCACGTTTGTCATGCTGTGTGTGCTGTGTGTGTGTGGCGTGCGTCACGTGTGTCGTACTGCGTGTGCTGTGTGTGTGTGTGTGCTGTGTGTGTGGCGTGCGTCACGTTTGTCGTGCTGTGTGTGCTGTGTGTGTGGCGTGCGTCACGTTTGTCGTGCTGTGTGTGCTGTGTGTGTGTGGCGTGTGTCACGTTTGTCGTGCTGTGTGTGCTGTGTGTGTGTGCTGTGTGTGTGTGGCGTGTGTCACGTTTGTTGTGCTGCGTGTGCTGTGTGTGTGGCGTGCGTCACGTTTGGCGTGCTGCGTGTGCTGTGTGTGTGGCGTGCGTCACGTTTGTCGTGCTGTGTGTGCTGTGTGTGTGTGGCGTGCGTCACGCGTGTCGTGCTGTGTGTGCTGTGTGTGTGTGGCGTGCGTCACGTTTGTCGTGCTGTGTGTACTGTGTGTGTGTGGCGTGTGTCACGTGTGTCGTGCTGTGTGTGTGTGGCGTGTGTCACGTTTGTTGTGCTGCGTGTGCTGTGTGTGTGGCGTGCGTCACGTTTGGCGTGCTGCGTGTGCTGCGTGTGTGTGTGCTGTGTGTGTGTGTGGCGTGCGTCACATGTGTCGTGCTGCGTGTGCTGTGTGTGTGTGGCGTGCGTCACGTTTGTCGTGCTGCGTGTGCTGTGTGTGTGCTGTGTGTGTCACGTTTGTCGTGCTGTGTGTGCTGTGTGTGTGTGGCGTGTGTCACCTTTGTTGTGCTGCGTGTGCTGTGTGTGTGTGTGTGGCGTGCGTCACGTGTGTCGTGCTGTGTGTGCTGTGTGTGTGTGGCGTGTGTCACGTTTGTCGTGCTGTGTGTGCTGTGTGTGTGTGGCGTGCGTCACGTGTGTCGTGCTGTGTGTGCTGTGTGTGTGTGTGGCGTGCGTCACGTTTGTTGTGCTGTGTGTGCTGTGTGTGTGTGCTGTGTGTGTGCTGTGTGTGTGTGTGCTGTGTGTGTGGCGTGCGTCACGTTTGTCGTGCTGTGTGTGTGTGTGCTGTGTGTGTGTGTGTGCTGTGTGTGTGTGGCGTGCGTCACGTGTGACGTGCTGCGTGTGCTGTGTGTGTGTGGCGTGCGTCACGTTTGTCGTGCTGCGTGTGCTGTGTGTGTGTTTGGCGTGCGTCACGTTTGTCGTGCTGTGTGTGCTGTGTGTGTGTGGCGTACGTCACATTTCCTGTGCGCGCCGCCGACCCAGATACCTGGTGATGGAGAAGTTGGCCAAGGCCGACTCTGAAAAGATCCATATCTTCAGCTCCTTCTTTTACAAGCGACTCAACCAGCGCGACAAGAGCCGCTCAGAGGAGGCGGCCGGCCTCACGTGAGCTCCCCCCCCCCGACCGACCCCCATGCCTTCTCGCACCCCAAGACGGAGTGTGCGGTAGCGTGTGTGTGTGTGTGTGCTCTGCATGGCAGTGTTTGACTTCGACGTTTTCGATCGCGACACAAGCGGCGATCGAAACGTCGTAGTTTTTTGTTATTTTCTTTGAACCTATCTATGTGACTTTACCGAAAGACCCAAATAATATGAATTCCTGCAGTCACGAAAGCTACAAGTCCAGATTTGGTGTATCGGTTAGCGCTGCGCTACGAACCCGGTGGCCCGAGTTCGATTCTCGCTTATCTGAACCGGTCCTGGACCTTGCCTAGGTCGACTCAGCCTCAAATGAGTACCCGGTGCGATATGTAAAACAACACTAGGGAGACAAAGGCGGCCGGGCGTGGTGCTGGCCACCCACCCCCTCGTGTGCCGTGCAGGCTGTCCGGGGGATCTTTGTCTTCATGTGAGCGAGTGTATCGGCGGGTGAGCAGATATCTCAGTGAAAGGCTTATTGACCTTCTGCGTGCACGCCCCCCCCCCCCCCCCGACGTGTGCTCATCCCCCCCCCCCCCCCCCACGTGCTCGTCCCAGGCTGCCTCAGCGGAGGCACCGGCGCGTGCGAACCTGGACGCGCCACGTAGACATCTTCGCCAAGGACTTCGTCTTCGTACCGATCAACGAGACGTGAGTGGTGGGGACGGGCGCGGGGACGGGCGCGGGGACGGGCGCGGGGACGAGCTTGTCTGTGTGTCTGTGTGTCTCTGTACAGTTCCCACTGGTTCCTGGCCATCATTTGCTTCCCTGGGCTCCAGGGAAAGTGCTACGTCCCAAAGGCTAAGAGCCTCGCCTTCGCAGCTAGCAACAGCAGCGGCAAGCAGGGCGGCACCACCATCACCCCCACCAACAACAACGGCAGCAACAGCAGCAGCAACAGCAGCAGCAGCAGCAGCAGCAATGCTGCCCCCACCAGGGTGGAGGTGTTTGATGGGTCGAAGGTCGCAGAGGAGGAGGACGGAGAGACGGAGAGCCAGGCCGGGTCAGACGACACCACGGAGCAGCTGATGCAGCAGACGATAAGCCTGGAGCACTCGTCCAACAACGTGAGTCGCTCACCTTCACCGCATCGCTCGCCCTCACCGCATCGCTCACCCTCACCGCATCGCTCGCCCTCACCGCATCGCTCACCCTCACCGCATCGCTCACCCTCACCGCATCGCTCACCCTCACCGCATCACTCACCCTCACCGCATCGCTCACCTTCACCGCATCACTCACCCTCACCGCATCGCTCACCCTCACCGCATCGCTCACCCTCACCGCATCGCTCGCCTTCACCGCATCGCTCACCTTCACCGCATCGCTCACCCTCACCGCATCGCTCACCTTCACCGAGCCGCTCGCCTTCACCGAGCCGCTCACCTTCACCGAGCCGCTCACCCTCACCGCATCGCTCGCCTTCACCGAGCCGCTCACCTTCACCGCATCGCTCACCCTCACCGCATCGCTCACCCTCACCGCATCGCTCACCTTCACCGCATCGCTCGCCTTCACCGCATCGCTCACCCTCACCGCATCGCTCGCCTTCACCGCATCGCTCACCCTCACCGCATCGCTCACCTTCACCGCATCGCTCACCCTCACCGCATCGCTCACCCTCACCGCATCGCTCACCCTCACCGCATCGCTCACCCTCACCGCATCGCTCACCTTCACCGCATCGCTCGCCTTCACCGCATCGCTCACCCTCACCGCATCGCTCACCTTCACCGCATCGCTCGCCTTCACCGCATCGCTCACCCTCACCGCATCGCTCACCTTCACCGCATCGCTCGCCTTCACCGCATCGCTCACCCTCACCGCATCGCTCGCCTTCACCGCATCGCTCGCCCTCACCGCATCGCTCACCTTCACCGCATCGCTCACCCTCACCGCATCGCTCGCCTTCACCGCATCGCTCGCCTTCACCGCATCGCTCACCCTCACCGCATCGCTCGCCTTCACCGCATCGCTCGCCCTCACCGCATCGCTCACCTTCACCGCATCGCTCGCCTTCACCGAGCCGCTCACCCTCACCGCATCGCTCACCTTCACCGCATCGCTCACCTTCACCGAGCCGCTCACCCTCACCGCATCGCTCACCTTCACCGAGCCGCTCACCTTCACCGAGCCGCTCTTCTCCACCACGTCGCCCACAATGCTGCGAGTCACACTTCTCTGCCGTGGGCCAGTGACGACGACGATGACGTGGGCGTGTCGCACCCTGCCCAGGACTCGGGCGAGGAGGTGGGGGAGAGCGAGGAGGGGGGGCAGCGTCCCGCGCGTAACGGCGTCGTCCCAGCGGCACGCACCTCGGGACGCTGCCAGCGCGACGCGGACACCGTCTGCAAGCAGTGAGTGACGCCGGTGCCGCGATGGTCGTGCGGCCCGCGACGAGCTCGCCGAGCGCACCGCGTCGACCCGGCTAACCCTTCGCCATTCCGACGACTCGCGTGTACGTCGCCGAGCAGAACGACTTTATCGGTACCGAGGCTCCCACCAGGGCACGCGGGAGGGCGCGTGGCGCAGTTTGGCGCCGGCTGTCGTAGAGTGCGGTGGTCGTGTCGATACTCCGCGGTGCGTAACGACGTCCTTAAAAACAACTCCACTCTATGAGACATCCCCTTTACCAGTGGCAAAATATAGTAGTAGGTTTTTACCCTTTCAACTGGTAAAAAACTGACACCTTTATACAAGGCATCATGTTTGCAAGAACCACAACACAAGCAGTCAAAATGCAAACAAAAATAAACAACTCTGATAATGATATGGACAGTGCATATCATCATCAGAGTTGTTTCTTTTTGTTTGCATTTTGACTGCTTGTGTTGTGGTTATTGCAAACATGATCCCTTGTATAAAGGTGTCAGTTTTGTACCAGTTGAAGGGTAAAAACCTACTACAACAACTGCGCTGCTGCTACTGCTACTACTATTAAATGAATGCCAAGCCGCTCGCGCGTTTGGAGATTCGGCAGTGAACGGAGACGCCCCCCGTGCAACTTGCAGACGCCTCAGAACGGGGAAAGGGTGGTCATGGTTGTGCAGTTGTAACACCCGTGGGCTCACAGCATCAAGGGTTCGGCCTGGGTTCGATTCCAAACTCGGGCGTCCTTGCTGTGTGTGCGGAGTTACAAACCCGGCGACCCCAGTTCGATTCTCGCTCACAGCCAACACCAGTGACAATTATCTGAAGCGGTCCTGTGTCTCCCCGAGGTCGACTCGGCCTCAAATGAGTACCTGATGCGGTGTGTAAAAACATCGCCACTGGGGAGACAAAGGAGGCCGGGCGTGGTGCTGGCCACCCACCCCCTCGTGAGCCGTGCCGGCCTTCGTAGATGCTGCACAACACTTGCCCCAGCAGTCCGCTAAGGCTACACGGGGGGCGGGGGATCTTTGTCTTTGTGTGCGCAGGCCCTGCATCGTCATCATGGACTCCCTCAAGGGCTCGTGTCGCAACGCGGTCGCCAAGACGCTGCGCGAGTGAGTAGCGGCCAGGCGGCCGCGGGTCTCTTCCCCCACCGCGCCGTGCCGCGCCGTCGGTGGCTCGGCAGCGCTCGGCGGGAGAGCGGGTGGTTGACCCGGACCCGTCGTTTGCAGCGACAGGGTGGTGGCACGGTGGTAACACACACACGAGAGAGGGTGCCGCGGTGGCGAGATGTTAACTACCTCGCCTGGTATACAGGAGGTCGTGGGATCGATCCCGACCCTGACGCCTGCTGCTGTATATTTGGAGTTTGCGTGTCTCTCTCTCTCCTCGTGGTCGTGTGGATTTTTCTCCGGGTTCTCCAGTCTTTCCCTCCACGTTTAGAATCGACGTATTTGGCTGCTGCTGTAAATGTCCACGTGATAATCCACTTTGCTTCTGAAAAAGAGCTGTTACAGCTCAATGGGCCTTATCTGGTAAAAAAACTAAGTTTATTTTTAGTTTAGTTTAAGAATCTCCTGGGTTCCATTACAGACTCGGGCGCATCTCTGTCTGTGTGTTCTGTGTCTCTCCCCCTGTTCTGTGTGCGTTCCCTCCGGGTTCTCCGGTTTCCTCCCACGGCTAAACACACACACACACAATATGACTGTATTGGCCGAAACATTCCAATGCTGAAATATTACCTGCAAATTACTCAATTGAGATGCAGCAGCAGCAGGAAGCATCAACGCCTCCCAACTCTTGGCAGGACCCTCCTGAAAACGAGTCGCTATAGCTCAGTGAAGGGTTGTCCTTTGCATGGACTTTTCCCACGCCATAGGAATGAGGAATTTCCAGCACTGGCCTTGCACGGTCGGCTACGTACGATGCGAAAGAAGTTGAACACACGTACGTACGTACGTACAACGTACATATGTAAAACGGAGGATGCGCACGTCAATGCCTCGTTGTGGAATTTCCACCACTGACTTTGCAGCAGTCGGCTACGTACGGTGCTAAAGAGGTTCAACGCACGTGCGTGCGTACGCACAGCTTACGTACGCAGACACGGGGATGCGCACGCCAATGACCCGGCACTCGGTTGAGCGGGAACTCGCTTTGGCTTCTGGGCAGGTACCTTGAGGTGGAGTGGTTCGTCCGCCGAGGGGAATCTCGGCCCTTCACCAAGGACTCCATGAGATACTGCTGCCCCAAGGTGCCGCAGCAGGACAATTTCAGCGACTGCGGCGTGTACCTGCTGCAGTACGTGGAAAGCTTCTTTGAGGTACTGCTACCCCACGTGGTGGTGGTGGTGGTGAGTGTGGTGTGTCGGGTGTGGTGAGATGGATGTGGTGTTGTGAGTGTGGTGAGTTGAGTGTGGTGAATGGTGAGATGAAGGTGTTGTTGTTAGTGTGATGAGTTGAGTGTGATGTAGTGAATGCGGTCAGTGTGGTCAGTGTGGTGAGTTGAGTGTGGCGAGTGCTGTGAGTGTCGTGCGTTCCGTGTCTCACTCATATTGAAGTTTGCCATCGTCACTTGATGAATCTTGCGTGCGCTCCACCGCATCCAGCTCTGTACACGCACAAACACACACGAGACAAAGATCCCATCTACAGCCTTAACAGACTGTCTCGTAAGACCCTCCACCACCCGACCCAGCCAATTGTTCTTGTTTCACCGCACCGAGCGGCGAGTTGCGGAACGATCCTCGCAGCCAACACAAAAGTAGTCGATTATAGTTGCATGTCGACGAGTGGCTCTTAATCGACCCTTCTCCTCCCGGACCGCGTCCCTCTCCCCCAGAGCCCCGTCACGTCCTTCGAGCTGCCGCTGCAGCTGGAGAACTGGTTTCCGCAGGAGCGCGTCAAGCGCAAGCGCACGGAGTTGCAGCAGCTCATCCTGCTGCTGCACCACCAGCTGCAGCGCGCACCCCGCACGGTGCCGCGCGACCGCTCACCTCGGCACGCCACCCCCGACTCCTCCGGCGCTCCGAGCCCCGAGGCCAACGGGGACGCGTGCGGGGCGCCCCGCAGGGAGGGAGACTCGGGAGAGGGGCAGCAGCAGCAGCAGCCCGCGGGGGACTCGCGGCGCAGGAGAAGCGGGGAAGAGAGAGGGGATCGTGAGGAGGAGGAGGAGGCCGATGAGGAGATGACGACGTCGGAGCGGGAGGACGAGGAGGAGGAGGAGCGGGTGGTGGAGTCGTCCAACGACTGTGAGCTGGAGTTCATGACGGAGGAGGAGGGGGGGCTGGTTCGAGGTTCGAATCCCTCGTCGACGACGACGGACGAGTCGGAGCACAAAAAGTTCGGCGTCGAGACGTGACGGCGGTCGTGCGGTGTGCGTGGTTGCGCGTCGGCGCGCGTGCGAGAGTATGAATGCGCGCGTGCGTGCGAGAGTATGAATGCGCACGTGTGAGTGGGGAGCGGTGGCGCAGTAGTTGGCGTGCCGTGCTAGGATCCCGACGAACCGAGCTTCATTCCAACTGAACCAGTCCTGTGCCTCCCATAGGTTGACTCAGCCTCAAATGAGCACCTGGTGCAGTGTGTGAACATCAGCACTGGGGAGACGAAGGCGGCCCGGCATGGTGTTGTCGGCCCCCCCGCCCCCTTGTGTGCCATCGGGTGCTTGCAGCACTTGCCCGACAGTCTGGTCACGTCGACACGGCGGGGTCTTTGCGTGTGCAACGCTTGCAACTCCTTTGCTTGCCGTCATTAGTTAAGCCTCGCTCTGCTTGCACGCGGATGAGAAGCGGATTCTCATGTCATTGGCGGGTGCCACTTGGCCCACCGCCCCTCCACCGTTGATCAATAACGAGCTCAGGAGAGCGAAACTCAACGTGCTCTTGCGTTCTCCAATCCAGGGTCGAGGGTCCACTCGACCATCATCCCTCCATAGTCACGATGACGATTGCAACCGTGTGGAATGTCAACTGTTGTTAGTCCCGGCCATAGTAATGTGGAATTTGGTGGCGAGGGGGCGGGGAGCTGCTGTGTGTATTGCCCTGCAATCGGCAGGAACGTCGATGGGGACCGAGGCGTCCCGTCGTGTCAAAAGCAATCGCCCCTCGGGCCGACGCACGCGCCGCCAAGTTCGACGCGAGCGGCCTTCTTGTCGCCTCGGCTCTCGAGCGCAGGCTACCGCCGCGTTCACCCGCGCGTCACCCCCCCCCCGCTCCCCCCCCCGCTCCCCCCCCCCCCCCGCTCCCCCCCCCCGCTCCCCCCCCCGCTCCCCCCCCGCTCCCACCCCCCCTCCCCCCCCGCTCCCCCCCCCCGCTCCCACCCCCCGCTCCCCCCCCCCGCTCCCCCCCCGCTCCCACCCCCCCGCTCCCCCCCCCGCTCCCCCCCCCGCTCCCCCCCCCCCCGCTCCCCCCACACGGCGTCCGCTCACGTTGTGCGCGAGCGATGTTTATGAGAGAATTGTAAATAGTGAAGTACCGGTATTTTTGTTGTTCTTTTTTTTTCTTTGATTCTTTTCCATACCCGTCGTGCGTCCGTTTAAATAAGCGACAGAAGGGTTTGCCGCGCCAGTTCGACTCCTGCGTGAGCGAGCGCACGCACACGCACACATGCACATGCGGGCGAGCAATCGGTCCGCGCGATTTCGTGATGACGCACGATTCGGAGGTGCAAACGATGACATCCATGGTATCGTGTCGATCCCCTTCTGCTCGCGCCGTGAACATTGTACATCACGGGTTCGCCTGACCCCCCTCCCCGCCCTCCCCCCCCGCAGCCACTAGAGGCCGCTACATTAAACCACAGTGTTATAAAGTAATAAGTGGATCGTGACCGCCCCCTCCCCTCCCTCCAACCAACTGGTGTCGACCTAGGGAGGGAGGGAGTGAATCGCTGCACCTCTCCGCACGGGAGAGACACGGCCTTACATTTCCACCACATGACGCACGCGCGCGTATGCGCGCAGAGCATCATTGTCTGCTTTTTTTAACGCACAAGGATGGCCGGCGTGTAAATGTCGTTCTGGGAAAATCCGTATGGTGTAATAAAAGCGCGAGTGTGTCCCCGAGACCAGCGGCGATTGTAACGATTGTAACGCGAGCTTGTGCCCGTGCGGGGATATTCACGAACGCGGCAGGTTGCACAGACTTGAGGCTCGCTCGCACGTCGCTTGAAGTCGCAGGTTTGTCTCGGGCGTCCCTCTTGCTTTCAGGTGAGCCAGCAGCCACGCGCTTTCACTGGAGCTGGCTCGGAGCAGTGGTGGGTGGGGGGTCCCAGCCGCACTTCAGGATTTTCCACCAGCTGAGCCACGGGGGAGCCCAATCGCTCATCAGGCTGAGCGGCTCAAAGCTTGAGCCGCGATTGATCCAATCCAGAGCCGAGCTGCGACTTGGAATACAGCAATTGTGTGTATGAATTAGAGATGTAAAAACACTTTTTTATAACAAGTAAACGAGACGGGCAAGTGATCTTTTGATTTGAGTCGCAAACACGAATTGTTGATATTTATCGAATCGATGTTGGTGGTGGTGATGGGGTTTGAAGGATTTAATGTATTACTAAAATACTTTTCCACACAAACCGTATTCGATAAAGGTACGTAGAAATAAAATAAGTAATTGAATACGACGTTTCGATTGCAACACAAGCAACCGTCAACAGGTGTGAATGAATGCAAGCCCGGAGAGAGAGACATATCCAGAGAGAGACAAACACAGACACGGAAAGAGATACCGAGAGGGAGAGAGACAGAGAGAGAGAGACACAGACAAACAAACACAGACATGGAGAGAGAGACAGAGAGAGAAAAAAACAGACACGGAGAGAGACACAGAGAGGGAGACACATGGGGGAGAGAGAGACACACACAGAGAGAGACAGAGACACACATGGGGGGGAGACAGAGAGAGAGACACATGGGGGAGAGACACAGACACGCAGAGAGAGACAGAGAAACAACGCCTCTGTGACGAGGCATTATATATAGAGAGAGCGGTAGGGGATGAGAAATTGGAAGTTGACAAATCTAGTAAAATTTAGAGAGCGGTAGGGGGAGAGAAATTGGAAGTTTGAGAAAACAAACCTCGTAAACTTAGAAATGTAATGCAATGCAACACGGAGAGTCTGCTAACACAACAGTTAACACTTGACCTGGTTGATTACGTTCTGCCAAAGATTGCTAAATTTTAAGTTTAAGTGTGATTTAATAATAACCATTATTAATCGGCGTTTTAAAAGCAAAAGCTGGAGGGAGGGAGGGGGGAGGAGGGTGCATCTTTTTTTATCCGTAAGTTGTGTGTGTGTGACCAGGCCCCAATAGTCTGTTCAGGCTCTACAGGGGGATCTTTGTTTGATCCTACTGGTACCGGGCCAGCGCCTTATATTCCCAAGAGAATACAGAAATGCGGTCATTCTGCCGTAGAAATACAATATTTCTAAGCCCTCTCAACGTCCCCCCCCAGCCCTCAGAGTGGTGGCGTGGGGGTCACCCTTGGTGCCTCACAGCAAGAAGTGCCTGGGTTCGATTCGTGACTCGGTCATCCCTCTCTCAGTGGAGTGGTGTTACGTTCTCTCTCTCTCGCCCCCGATGTTCTGCATGGGTTTCCTCCGGGTTCTCTGTTTTCCTCAATCATCTAAACAAAACCAACCCCCATTCCCCCCCATACAACGTGGCCAGTATTGGCCAAAACATCCCAATGCCGATGGATAACCAGCTAATCGGCGAGGCGTCTCTGGGTGAATACGCATCATAATAATAACAACGATAACCCAAAGAGCAGGAACGATGGTTCTTTTTTTGTAGTTTTTGCACAAATGTTGGACCCTGTGCTGAACTACAAATAGAATGTTTATTTTCTTTGCTTCGTGGTTGGCAGGATTGTTTTAAAGTGGATTAAACCTCGTGAAGGCAAGCAGCCCCACGTGTGCGTCCTACATTCTTGCAGGCTCGTCCGGACTTCGTGGACGGCCGAGATGCCCGTTGTTGTTGTGGTTTTATCATTTGAACACACGCAGCCGCTCGGCGCAGTTGCCCAGAGGCCTAAAATGCCAAGCGGCCAGCGACAAACAGCACTGTTTATCAAAGGGTTCATTTGGTAAGACTGTAACACGCGTATCTTGAATTTGTGAGCCCAGGGTTATTATTACTAGTCTGAATAAGCAGGAGCTTTGGTGGTGCGATCAGAGACGACGACGGGGATGAGAGGGAGGGAGGGAATTCTACAAGTGCAGCCGTGCGAACGGGAATAAGGCGGAGGAGGTGCGAGGTGGATGTGATGGTTGACCTCGGCGTTTGGAAGCCCGCTGGGTGGACACGGGCGATGCTGATGGTTGTATTCGCATTCCAAGAAACGGCGGCGGCGGCAGCGGATTTGAAAACGTCTCTCGCAAACAGAAATGATATCAGAGCCGTCGGCTGCCTTGCGCGTGCGGTCTATCTTGGTTTTGGGCGCCGTACGGCCCCCGAGTTTATTTTGAATGTGAAGCGGTGTTAGCGGCGTGGTGGTGGTGGTGGCGTGGGAGGGGGTGGGAGGGGTGGTGGTGGTGGTGGCGTGGGAGGGGGTGGGAGGGGGTGGGAGGGGGTGGTGGCGTGGGAGGGGGGGTGGGAGGGGTGGTGGTGGTGGTGGCGTGGGAGGGGGTGGGAGGGGGTGGGAGGGGGTGGTGGCGTGGGAGGGGGGTGGGAGGGGTGGTGGTGGTGGCGTGGGAGGGGGTGGGAGGGGGTGGGAGGGGGTGGTGGCGTGGGAGGGGGGGTGGGAGGGGGTGGTGGTGGTGGTGGCGTGGGAGGGGGTGGGAGGGGGTGGGAGGGGGGGGTGGGGTGGCGTGGGAGGGGGTGGGAGGGGGTGGTGGTGGTGGTGGCGTGGGAGGGGTGGGAGGGGGGTGGGAGGGGTGGTGGTGTGGCGTGGGAGGGGGTGGTGAGGGGGTGGTGGCGTGGGAGGGGGGTGGGAGGGGTTGGTGGGAGGGGGTGGTGGGGGTGGTGGCGTGGGAGGGGTGGGAGGGGGGGTGGGAGGGGTGGTGGTGGTGGTGGCGTGGGAGGGGGTGGGAGGGGGGGTGGGCGGTGGGTGGGCGGGGAGGGGTGGGAGGGGTGGTGGTGGGTGGGAGGGGGGGAGGGGTGGGAGGGGGTGGGAGGGGTGGTAGGGGTGGGAGGGGGTGGGAGGGGTGGGAGGGGTGGGAGGGGGTGGGAGGGGTGGGAGGGGGTGGGGGAGGGGGTGGGAGGGGGGGGGAGGGGTGGGAGGGGGTGGGGGCAACACGGAGACAGAATGGATTGGTTGCCCTCGGATTGGTCACCCCGGGTCGAAGGCGTCGGCCTTTTGGACGGCCACTTGGTTTGTGTGGCTTCTGTGCGTTGACGATTTTTGTGTTATTTGTTGTTGTTGTTGTTCGGCCCCCTTTGTGTGTGTATGATATACCTCAGCTTTACAACAAGGCCAACAACAATGTGTACACTGTTTTCGTTTAGAACTTGTTGCATAATAAAAAAAAAATTCCAACGTTGAAAAACATCGCTAAGTTCCCCCCCCCCCCCCGTGGTAACTTCTTGACCCTGGCACCATGTGAACGTCGAGTCGTGTAAATAAATTTATAATTTAATTTATAATTTAATTACCCACTGCTGGATGGGCGCTCTGCCCCGAAAACGGCCTTTAGCAGTTGGTCACCATCCAGCTCCTCCACACGAGGTGACATCATTGATCCCCTCCGCTCGCTCCAATTATACACGTACCCGGTGTTGTTGCTAGGTCTCAACAAAATCACGTTCTGTGTATTGTGTGTAGATGTACAGGGGCTCCTCTACTTACGAACGAGTTGGGTTCCAGAGGTCTGTTCGTAAGTCGATTTGTTCGTAAGTCCAACTTTACTCCTGTCGATTCCAAACGCGTTGTACGGCGTGTCAGCTAGACACGGGGAAGGGCTTTAAAGTTGTATAATCTCCTGCAGATGTAGATGCCACTGGTTCTTCGTGTTCTGCAGATGTAGACGCCACTGGTTCTTCACGTTCTGCAGATGTATATGCCACTGGTTCTTAACGTTCTGCAGATGTCACTGCTTCATGTTCTGTAGATGCCACTGGTTCTTCACGTTCTGCAGATGTAGATGCCACTGGTTCTTAACGTTCTGCAGATGTAGATGCCACTGGTTCTTAACGTTCTGTAGATGTAGATGCCACTGGTTCTTAACGTTCTGCAGATGTAGATGCCACTGGTTCTTAATGTTCTGCAGATGTA